TTTGTTTAAATTTTGAATATGAGTATCCGTTTGAATCATGCAATTTACCATATGTATATTTATATCTTACTTCTCAGTGTGTACTCTGCCACAATGTAAAATTATTTTCTTTCTTTTTGCTATCAGAATAACTGTGTGTAAAATGGCGACTTCATAAGTTGCTTTTAAAATTCAGGGCAAGATTTTGCTTTGTGTTAATCTTATACGAGCACAATAGCTTTCAGTGTGTTATACTGTCGATTCATTTTCTATACATATGTTTGCATACATACATTATCAATTATAAGTGTAATTAATGTGACCATGACTCACTTTTGAGCGCCTCATTAAATTGCGCAGATTCCCCTGTTAAAGTGTTTCCCAATTAGCTGCACCAATTCACAATCTTTTTACAAGCAATTCGAATTCGTGCATTGCCTGAAAAGAAAAAAGAAGTGAAAATAAATATTTAATTATACATTTATATTTAATGCAATTTAGCGTATTTTGCGTGACATTTAATATGTTTAATTTTGATTGTAAAACTAATTAAATTGCTGGGAAGTCCACATTAAATCGCGATATATGCAAAAGCAATAACTATGTTATGGCGGCCTTTCTATATACTATAAAATGTTGAAAAGTTGTGTGACTATTGCTGATAACTAAGAATGCTATTTGTGCCTATCAATTAATTCAAAATAAATAAATTCTGATTTTATTAGTAAAAGGAAAAAATCAAATAAATGTTCAGGAATAATCTATAAGTACTATTGCATTTATTCTCCAAAATCCATATGTCCGTTTTTATTCTTTATTTATTCTTTTGTTCAGTTACACTATTCAACAATAGGGATTATTTTTATAATAGGCATTCCCAATTCTTTGGAATTGAATCAATTCCTATTTAATTAACGCATGTGCCAATTTGATTTCTACTTCCTAAGTTGGAATTGTGCTTCAACTTTTAATTTTACCTGTGCTTTATATTTGCGTCGCATTTTATTTGCTGTTAGCATTTGTATATATATTTTTTATACTAGTAACACTTATATAGGTAAAGCCTCAAAATTATCTTGTTTTGCTTATGTGGCCATTTCATGTGAGGTGTTTACTAAACTCGACGCTCTTTGTTTTGCTCGAATGTCGATTATAGTGGCATAGCGATGTTTGTCAATATATATATATACATATATATAGTACAATTGCTGATAACTAAAACCAATTGTCATGAACTTGTAGGCCAGACTGAAAGGAACAGCTGTTAGTGTTCTGATCATTTTCTCACCGTTTGTTAGTCTATTCAATTTGACACTTCACTTGGAAATCAATTGTTCAGTAATTAAATTCAATTGAAATATCATTAAATGTATTCAAATGTCAAACACCTCCCCCCGCCAATTAACTGAGTGCGTCAGGTGCCGGACAGGGAAGAAGAAAACGTTTCAGTCTTCTGTTATACAATCGTATATATATATATATATATATATATATATATATACTCTCAAGCAGGTCATGTTGTAGGGTCAACATTGGGTCTCCACCTCATTCTGAATATTGCTCGCATTTCGCGCTGTGTTTAATCAAGGCACGCTTTCATTTGCTTATTTTTCGTCTTCTATTTTATATATTTTTTCCAATTGATGGTCTGATTGAGTGCTAGAAACGGGACGACCTCATGTCGCATATATTCAATGTCAAGTGCTTCCACAGATGAGTGTGCTAGCAGGATAGAGATGGGGTAATTGCAGCCGATGTGGCGCCACTTTATGAGAGTGGTCGGTCTTCATGCAACCACCTCGATTTCCATCTGCATCTATTTTTGGCCAACCTTCGTCGTCGTCGTCGAGTAGTAAAGCACCCAGTGCTCATCCTCATCCTCGTCCTCGTTCTGGGTAACTCAAGGACTGTGGCATTTGCCATACTGTTTGATGCCGCCTGTTGCTGTTGCGATTTGCTGTGGCAAGGTTATTTTTAGCTGCTTTCGTGACGTCAGGCGCTATGTCCTTAAAACCTGCTGCTGCTACTGCTGCTGTTGCTGCTAGTAATTTATTGACTAACGTTTTGGCATTCAACATTTTTTTCTAATTTCACCTTGAAATTGCAAGCATAGCCGGAGTCGCCTCGCTGCCGCAACCCACACAAAACACCTGTCTGTCTGCTACATTTTTTCAGTATATGAAAAAATGAGAGTTTTAGCTGTACTTGTGTGTGTGTGTGTGTGAGTGTGTTTTTGTGTGTGCTATCAGCGATATTCGATGCGATTACTCACATTAATTTATTATTTCGTTGCTGCGATAACCAAAAATGAACAATTAAAATAATAATTCAAATGCCACATAAAAAGTAATTGCGAGAAACAAATCAGTAATCGCTTATATGCGTGATATATACAAAATATATAAACTTATATGCTTTTAAGGAATTTCGATACCATAATTTAATTATTAATTAATTTAATTTGCACGCAAAAACAACACATAAAGTTCTTGCAGCTAAAATGAACTTGAAGCAGTGCGAAGAAAGGTCATTTTATTTATTGAAATGTCTACGAAGTTCTTTGTACGATTCATTTGAGTAGAATTAGCAATGACAAATCAACTGCTGCCAAATGTAAAACAACAAACTCGGTGAAACTTTTACTTGGTTTGCCCAAAGTTACTTAGAACCTGAAACCATTTGTTGCCAAACCCAAATAGTTCATATACATGTAGGTGAAATGACTGCCTATCAAAAATGAACTCACTTCAGCGACCCACACATTCGTCATTTATAAGTGAAACGGCGTAATTTCATGAGTGACGCATTAATGAATAGTAATAAAAATAAAACTTAACCAAGAAAACAGAAGTTTATATAAGCCGAGGCATATATTTAAAAATGCTTGGCGAATTCCATATCGCGTCAACATTCATATATCTTCGTATTGAAATTGGTGTATAGATTCAATTATATACGATTATATATGTTTGTTACATTGAAATGCCATTGGCGCTGTAATAATTAGCTTTTGTATCCTTGACGGCGCCTTAGCCGGCCCTAACTACAATTAACTTGGCCGAAACGAACTTGGAATATTTAATTACATATTTGCTTTGCGACTGTCTGCTTTTACTTATAATTGAGATTTGTGGCACACGAATGTTCATTAAATCGAATGTAACTTAACATATAAATAACTTAACTATAATTATAGATTTTTTTTTAGTAGTTTTAGCCTGGTCTCATGGCCGGTCAATGACACCGGCCTCAGTGCATAATCGAAACGCGAGTAAACGCAAAAGAAGCTCGCTCGATCAACAAACGAAAGTCTTCAAACAGACATTTATTGATGTTTGGTTATTTGTTTGCTTGAGCCGAGTTTTTGTTAACTGTTTGTCAAGTCGCAAAAATGAAATTAAATAAGCCGCAATAAAACTGACGGCGCTAAGCAATAAATTGCCGATCAACTGCGACGACTTAATATAAGAGAAAGAGCGAGGGGGTAAGAAGAGAGCGAGGCGGGTGGCAGTCAGTCAGTCATTGAACTATTTACTCACGGCCTTGCATGTGTACCTTAGACATGGCCCAATAGAACGGCCAGCTTTGAGCTGCTGCCTGCCCCCGACACACACATGTATGTGTGTGTGTGTGTTTGTGTTTGCTGGTCGGAGTATTTTCGCTCATTGCACGTTTCAATGTTGTGTAAACAAATGGAAATGGAATTGCCACATGTTGTAGCAGGCAGGCAGCCAGCCAGCCAGCCAGCCAGCAACGTTGGCATTGAGCTTTGCGCTCGCCGCTTTCAACTGGCAACGAATTCGGTTTACTTGTGATTTCATACAAATCGCCTCACACTTTGCCAGCCATCGATTTACTTGTTGTGAATCATTCATTAAATGGAAAATCAACTGAAAACTTTGTCGCAATTAAGCTATATATCTCATTGTGAGTGTGTGTTTTCCCTAAATAATTTTGCTTGCAAAACTTTTTGGAATTACTCAAAGCGTTCGCGCTTAATCGCTGCTCTCGTCCGCTTTGCCCCCTGCCCCTTGCCAGTTGTCGCGGCTCTTTGCAGCGTGTCGAACTGCGCAGTTTGGAGTGGAGTCAACGGCAAAGCCAACGCATTTTGACGTGTTTGCCTTTATAATAAGCACATTTCGCACATTTCGTTTCCTTCCACCGCATTTAGCTTTTGGTTGTTGCCTTTTGGCCGCTTTTATTTTTTCATTTCATATTTAAACAACAGTTCACAAATGCAAAAGTAAAGCAAGCAAAAAAAAAAAAAAAACAAGTTCAGCTGCCCGTTAACTTGATATCTTGAACAAGAGAGCAAGATACGGAACGAAAGAGAGAGCGAGCGAGCGAGAAAGAGAGAGAGGGACCAGTGCCTCCTCTCTCACTCTCTCTCTCTCTCTCTGTTCGCTGGTTCGATCTTCAATGAAGCTTTTTATTTGCAACAAGTTGGCAGCTTCGTGCTGAACAAAATTTGCATACTTAATGTATTCCAAATAGCATTTTTTTTTGTTATTATTTTTAATTAATACACATGTTTTTAAATCAAAATAAATCTAGCAGTTGCAACTTGAAATGTTGCGCAGTTTTAATCAGCGAGCATTTGATTATATCTTTATTCATTAATATTTATATAAAACTATTTTTATGGAAAAGCGTAAAAATAATATTCCATTTTTATAACAATCGATAATAATTTCATTAAGTCAATAAATAGAATAGTTTGAAATACTTAAATACTTACAAAATTGTAATTTGAAAAATTAGTCATATCGAGCGTGCAGCAAGCGCTGCTTGGTTGGCTCATTACTCATCCGTGTTTACTTCCCACTTATTGCCACTGATTGCACGCGCTTGTGAAACAATTGCAGTGAGCAGCAGCTTCTGTTGCCTCACTTAACAATTGAAGCTAAAAACAGAAACTGCTGACAGCTGTTCACTCATTTGCGCATATGCATCATATCCTTGAGTTGTATCAAACTTTCTTACTAATTACATCCTTATTGTGGCATTAATTATTCTTGCAGGCTGATGACAAATCGCTGCTGGCACGCTTCTACCATGCCGATCGTTCGCTGACCGCCGTCGCCAGTGAGCTGGACAGCTTCGATGGACGCGCCGAGCCGGATCGTTGTACGCGTCTCGTCAGCAGACTGCGTCAAAATCAGGTAAGTTTGAAGCTGGGCAACTGAAAAGCTGATCAACGGAACTGATTTTGTTTTTTTTTTTTGGGGGGGGGGTGTGCAGGACAAAGTGCTGGCCATTACGAACATGATAATGGAGGAGCTGCTGGGCGAAGATCGTGATCCGCGCGCTTTTCGCGCCAAATTTCCCGAGGAGGTGCTGCAAGAGAATCTGGCCGGTCAGCTGTGGTTTGGCGCCGAGTGCCTCGCCGCCGGCTCATCGATCCTGAATCGCGAGTCGGAGAGCAAAGAGATGCGTCCACTGGCCCAGGCCGTTACCAAGAGTCTGGGTCATGTGCGTGTCCTGCTGCGCGATCAATGTCTGCGCAACAATGTGCCCAACAGCAAGACGCTGCACTTGGACTTCAACGACTCGAACACGGAGCAGCTGTACGAGAGCCTCAAGATATTCGATCATCTGTTCGCCGAATTCGAGCTGAGCTATGTGAGTGCCATGGTGCAGGTGAAGTCTCGACACGAGTACGAGATGCAGCAGTGGATTGGCGTCCTCTTCTCGGAGACGCTGCAGCGTTCCCTCAAGGTCGGTCTGCTCGATCAGGACATGGTGGACGCTTTCGATCCGGGTCTAATGTTCTCTATACCGCGATTGGCAATTGTTGCCGGGCTCGTCGTCTATGCGAAGGGGCCGCTGAACATGGACATGCCGGGCGATCAACTGTCGGAGATGTTCCGTCCATTTCGCACGATCCTCATCAAGATCAGGGATCTGTTGCGCAACCTAAGCAAACAGGAGCTGTATCAGCTGGAGAAACTCCTCTGCACCAATGAGGATATCAACACGAAGGTATTTTTGATCGACTTTTGTTTTGGTTTGCTTTACTCACTCTGTATTCCTGCAGGTGCCTTTGGGCTCCAGCAGCATTGAGGCGCCTAGTCCTGAGCACAACAATAGCAGCAGCACCACCAACACCAGTAACAACAACAATAACAATACTAACAATAACAACAGCAGCAGTGGCAGTGACTGCACTAATAATGATAAAACCGGCACAACAACAAACACACACAAGCCCGTAGAGCGTCTGGTGGATCACCGCAACAACAATACCACCAATAGCCAGCAGACAAGCAGCTGCAGTGTGAATGCAGCTGCAACCACACCGGCAACAAGCAGTCGCACTCGCACTCCTCCGTCCATATTGTCGCCATCGGCGGGCAGCACGCCGACAGCATCGCCAGCGCCATCGCCGACGCCGTCGCACTCAATTGCGTCCACGTCGTCGGCGGCGACAACTTCGACAAATTCGCCAGCCCATTGGAGCGATTATGACGATGATGATGAGGATGATGATGATGATGACGTGCATGCCGATGTGGAAGAGGATGAGGATGAGTCGGGCATTTTGGATAGCGATGAGCATGACTTAAATGATGACAGTGATAGCGAAGTGGATGAGTTCTTTGAGGCACAGCTAAAGGCTATTGTGGCAGCCGTCGATTGTGCACCTGGCTATCTAATACCGGATTGTGCCTCTGGCTATTTAATATCAAACACAAATCTGGGCAATCTGCTGCAGCCGCAACAGGTGCCACTCACGGACAACTTCGTGGCCAGCGAAGACGATGAGCTTGGCAATCCCACTGCAGTCGATCAGCAGCAGCAGCCACAACAACAACTAGAACACCATCAGCAACAGCTGCAGCAGCAACAACATACAGAAGATGAGCCCAGCACAAGCGCTGCTATGTTGGCCGCCAGACGCACTTTGCAGCGTCTCCGTTTGCCCAGCAGCAGCAGCGACAATGAGCCCAGCAGCAATAATCAGCAGATGACAATCAAATCACCCAGCGAGCAGACAACAACGCGCAGCAGCAGTAATCGCCATCGGCATCACAGTCACCATCATCATCATCATCATCACAGTCACCATCATCACCACCATCAGCCAACAGCAGCAGTAGCAGTAGCAGCAGCACAGGACGAGCAGCACAATAACAATCAACCTCACAGTCATAGTCACAGCAGCAGTCATCACCATCATCATAATCATCAGTCGCATTCGCATCCACATCGTGCAAATCGCAGCACTCGCAAGCGCTGCAGCCAGGAGCACTGCGAGACCATCACAACAACAAAAACAACATCCGGAGGAGAGCAACAGACGGAAGACAGCTTGGATTCGAGCACCGCCTCCTCACTCTCCGATGATGTCTCGCTGGCCATGCGGAACACCACGGCGCGTCTCAAGTTTAAGTGAGCATCACATTGGCAAACAGTTGCAGAAATAATAATAATAATAATAGCACCACTACATAATGGAATTATTTTCAATATATTTATAAATTTCATTTGAAGCAAAAAGTGCCAAAAAGTAACGAAAAATAATAGAAATCATTATGTTTCGCCGATTTTCATTTATTTAATGTTTCAATCAATTTTTTATGTTATGTTTTTTATGTTTTATGTTTTTCTTTCTCGATTTATTTTTTTGGCAAGAGTGTTCCACTTCTAAAACCGTATTCAGAAATTTAAAAGACTTGAAAATATGTCTTGTGAGAGTGGTGCTATTTTTTTCACTGACAAATTCACACGAATCTGTGGAAAAATCAATCAATATATCAATCTGAACCAATCTTAATTAGCATTATTTTTGTTTCATTACTACAGGAGTACTGAGAATCTGCTGCATCGTCTGTTCGTTTGCATTGCTGGCGTCGCCGATCAACTGCAGACAAATTTTGCCTCTGATCTGCGCCAGATATTGCGCAGTGTGTTCCTTATGAACATGTCCTCGGCCCAGGAGGACATCGACATACCCGAAAAGACAAAGGAATCGGAACTATTCGAGTTTCGCGCCTCGGAAAACGATGTGATACAAGAGAGTGCCGGCTCCAATCAAAGCATTTATTCCGCCGAGGAGGTCAATCCCGAGCTGGACAATGTGTTCAACACCAATACGGGCACCAACGGAGCACGTCACTCTGCTGGCGCAACAATGCAGCGCAACAATACCATTGATCTGGCGACGGTGCAAAGCAGCAACAGTGGCAACAGTAGCTCCTCCAACAGCAGCAGCAGCTCCTCTGCGGCACGCAGCCATGTGGCGCGTAGTCGTAGTTTGGGCGATCACGATCAGGCTTCGACCAGCAGCTCGCAGCAGCAACAGCGAGAGCTGCAATTGCAGTTGCAGCAACAGCAGCAGCAGCAGGCGCAGATGCAGCAACAATTGCAGCGTCACCGCAACAATTCCGTTGGCAGCAATTCACCATCGAGCGCCTCATCGACTAGTTCCAACTCGGAGCACAATTCACCGGTGAGCACGCGCAGTGGCAGTCGTCGCCGTTTGCCTAGCAACACAACCACCACACTGTCGACGTCCATTGGCACAGCAGCAACGACACCAACGGGAGCAACAACAACTGGAGTAACAACAACAACAACAATGTCACCACCTGCCTGGATACCCGATGGCAAGGCGCCACGTTGCATGTCCTGCCAGACACCGTTCACAGTGGTACGGCGACGTCATCACTGCCGCAACTGTGGCGGCGTCTTCTGTGGCGTCTGCTCCAATGCCTCGGCACCGCTACCCAAATACGGCCTAACCAAAGCGGTGCGCGTCTGTCGCGAATGCTTCATGCGCGAAGTGCGTCAGAGCCACAGTCATGGTCAGAGTCAGAGTCAGATTCATAGCCCCACACAGCAGGCAGGCGGTAGGCCGCAGGCAGCAAGCGCCTCTTAGGATTGGCCGCTGGCGCTGGCTGGCAGGCGCAGAGCAGTGAGACCAAAAACGTGCCCAACCGTTGACCAAATCCAAATGGATGGAAAACAAGAAAACTGTGAATCGCAATCGTTATTCAAAATTATTTTTTCAACATTTTTTTTAATGCGCAAACCAAACAAAAGATTTTTTAATTCCTCGACAAAACGGCACAGTTCTCCCAAATGCAGCAATTATCAATCGATTCGCTTACACATGAAAATGATCCCTTTTCGAAATTAAATCTTATTCACTTAAAAACACAAACTGACCAACTCTGAGTGTCGTATCAAAACTGTACAATAAAATACTTTGACTTCGATCTATGTATGTATTATATACGCAACTGTTCATCTAGCTATATACCATTCACACGTGTAAACGTTAATTGTAATTGTAAAAATGCTTTCAGCTCATATCATGCATATACAAATACGTATATATCAATGCAACATATACTATATATAGTACTATATACATATGTATGCCTGCATTTCAATAGATCTTCTTTGGGTTTTATGGGGACAGAGGAGGGACTGCATTAGAAACATAAAAGTGGATCGTAGCTAATATTGTAAGCTTTTATGTTGCAATTGTCCTGTCATTTAGCAGCCAACTCGTTTAGGATCATAGAACATAGTGTATATATATTTTTGTAGCAAGTGCAGCAAACTGAGCTGAATAATAGACATAATTTCTAGCGAAAATTTGCAAAACTTTATTGTGATTTATTGTTATTTATATACCCTGTATGTTCCCAAAAAAAAATCTAAAAAACAACAAATCTGTGTTGCATTCATTTCTCTTTTTCTATCAAACTGTCTGAAGATATCTAGATCTAGAAAGCCAATAAAAGTAAACTTAAGTCAATGTACTATTAATATATGACGGTACGTTACAGGGAATATAAATAAATAGTCGGCCCGATACGGCTATAAAGTTCTTACCTTATACGAAATCCATTTTATGTTTAACCATGTAAGCTAGCAGGAAATTGATTTCAAACCTAATAAAACACAGTTTTACATATAATATACAAACATATATATCCATATATATTTTTCTGACTTAAAAAATAGAAATTACAAAAAAAAAACTGTAAATTGAGTTTAATGAGTATATATATATGATATTTTGCTTAAATCAATAAAAAAAAATAACAAAAACAAAGAACAGAGTTTTTATTTAATTTTAGTGGAAATCGGCTTTTGCTCTTAAATGATTCTGAGTTTACATTTAATCAATTTTAAAAAACCTCCATATTTGCCATGAATATGTAGAGAAATTAAATCATTCTTTGCACTTTAGTTTGCTAATTTGCAATTCTCTTATGTTTTCAATTTAAAAGAGAAAATCAAAGCCCAACTTCAAACATTATTTCAAATCGTAGGAATACATCTTTAACTGTTTAGTTTTTGCTTAACTTCAAATTTATTTCGAATTTTAGCTCAGTTCGTTTTGAGATTTTTCCGGGGGGTTGCTTATTTTTTTCCGCTTTTTTAGGTCTTTGTTGTTGGTCTTTTGCTGCTAGATTAGTTGAAACTCACCCGATAATGGGAGATCACAAGAAATCGAAAAAGTGCCCGGAAACAGCAGAAACTGTGCTTTGGAGAAGCCTGTCGCAGGATCGCAAGTTTGATGACGATATCGAGGTGGCGCAGTTAGATTTAATGGATGACTTGGACGAAGAATTCTTCAATACGTCCTATGAACTGGTGCAACGTCTTGTGCCGCTCAACGCCTTCGTGGCGGGCAAGATTAAACGCTACGTGGATATTCTGTCCAGGATGCACCGGCGTTTCACCAAAGCAGTGACAGTGGCCAATGCAATGCATACCAAAATACAAATGGCAGATACAAAGCTGAAACTGGCCATAAGAACGACTGCCATGTCAACGGATATGATGGCGAAGCTGCGAGAATCCGTGACAGAGGCCTGGTGTGCAGCGGATGCAGTCCACTTGCGGGAGACCCTAAGGCTGGATAATCAGATTTGCACGAAGCCAATCCATTTACATAAAGGTGAACATCCGTAAGTGTTAACGCGTCAACTCTGAAGATCGAGTTCCCTGCTTCCATAATTTTTTATTGCTTGCAGCAAGGAGCTGCGCATCCGTGGCATTGTCTTTCGGGAACGTGATCGCCTGGCTGTTGAGTTAAAGGACTATGAGAAGCGGCTGGAACAGAATCGTGTATACTCTGTGTCCTTGGAGGATATGAATGAATTACAGCGCGAGACGATTCAAAAACAACAGCAACGCGTTAACAAGATCGCAGAGGAAATGTATGCAATGGATCGCAAGAATCGTATCACTGTCGCATCCTTAGAGGACAAGATAGACTATCTGATGAAAGATTTGGAGAGCCTCCATGCGGTCAAGCATGAGCTGAGCAAGTCTGAGCAAAACTTGGCAAAGGGCTTGGCCATGAACGAGCAGATGAAGCGTCTAATCGACCGTCTCTCGCAGGAGAAGTACACCTTGGTGAAAAACCTTCAATCCCTGCAGGACGACAAGCGTCGCTGCAAAAAGTTGGCCAAAGATTTGGAAACTGAGAATCGAGAGCTAGTCAGCGAAAAGGTTGAGTTAGGCCGATTAAATCGAGCCAACGTCAACGAAATAAAAAAGAATGCCGATTTGCAAGCGATGCTCGAACGCCGACTCCGACAATTATCCAAGAGGAACAACGAGTACGCTGAGCAAAAACTGATCCAAGAGTAAGGCGCCAGCATACAGATACAATATTAGATATTGACTCGATTCCATTTCATCCAGCAATGAACTGATGGATCTTAACAAGAAATTGTTGATCACCACAGCGACACTGGACGAGGCGTTGCACCAGAAAGAGGAAGGGGAACGCGGTCGGGAGAGGATGCGTTGCGAGTTAGCTAACTTGAACGATGATTTGGCCGGCTTGCGTCACGATCTCTTCGTGCAACGCAGTCGTACGCACGATGTGCAATTGAATTTGAAGCGATGCCACAACTCGTTGGACAAGAAGGACCAACAGATCCAGAAGGTCAATCGGGAGAAACAAGAGCTGCAAGCGGAAATCACTGCGCTGCTAAAGTCAATTGAATCCCTGGAAAGTAAGTAAAGGACACACATACAGACACACACCTATGTATACACACTAATATTTATTGTGTCCTCAGCGCTGGTGGCCAAGAGAACAGAGAAACTGACATATGTATCTGAGCAGATGGAGCAGAAGCATCGAAGCTATCACAATGCATTAATGCAAATGGAAAACCTGCAAAGTGAGAAGAAGGTGCTGGAGAAGAGCTTCGAGATGTGCGCCAGGGATCGGCAGAGTTTGCAGAATCTGAACGTTAAGCTGGGCTTTCAGAACAACCAATTGTGCAATCAGTTGGCCACCAATGAGAAGGAGATCAACGGACTCAAGAATCACATCGATCAGATGGACAGCACTGTGAAGCACAAACAGAACGAGATTCATGGCCTGGATCGGCAACTGCAGCGAATGCGCACCGAACTCAACGAGCTGAAGATCAGGAATGATCAGCTGCAGCACACCACCGAGGCGGATGAGAAGCGCTTCAAGCAGATCACCATTTGCCTGGACGAGGTGCGAAAGGAGAAGACACTAGTCGGCCATCAAATGGTCCGACGCAACTCCGAGCTGCGTATGCAGCGCGAGAAGCTCGCCATGATGAAACTGGCCCTTGAGCATGGCAACATACAGTACAATCAGCGCATCGAAGACATCCGTCTCCTCAAGACGGAGATCCGAAATCTGCGCATGTCCAATGATTGCATGCAGCGAGCCGTTAGCGGCACGGCCAATTTGCGCCACGAAGTAGTGCGGCTCGAGCGTCAGCTCATCCGTGAACGATTGCACGTGACAGCGTTCACGGAGGAGATGAAGCATCCGTATCGCATTCATCGCTGGCGTGTTCTTATCGGCAAGGATCCATCCAAATATCAGCTTATCCGTAAAATGCAGGGGCTGCTCAAGCGCAACATTCGCCTCGCCGTGTTGCGTGGCAATCTGGCGCAGCAGTTGGAGGATTTGCAACGATTGTACGATACACTCAAGAAGCAGCTGCAGCGCATGCCCAATCCCCAGGTCGTGGAACGCCTCTGGTTCCAGCAACGTATCAATCAGCGCCAGAGTCGCAAAGTGCGCGCCATGAAAGCAGAACTGGCAATCAATGAGATCGATCTAAAGTCACGAGAGATCATCATCGACCAGTATCAGCAGGTCCTCAGGAAGGAGCATCAGCTGCAGCAACCATCTCACAAGGATGCCAGCCGACCACTCGGAAGCGTAATATCAGCGCCCAAGCAACAAGTCGAACAGTTCGCCAAATCAATCTTCGAGATAAGCACAATAGATTCAAAAAGTTCGAGTTTAATGACTATCTAAAGCAATGAGCTGATGACCTTGAAGCCAGCTCCCAATGTTCGTGGTAGCTGCGCCGGAGCCGAGTAGCAATGTGCCTGCATCTGCTCCAGCATCTGACGCTCCTCGAGCAGCTTCTGCTTGCGCCTCTTCTCCTCCAGCAGCTGTGTCTTCGTCTGCGCCAGATTGCCGCGCAACTCCTCCAGCTGCCTCGCATTCGACTTCTCGCCAAACTCGTGCGCACTCAGCTCGGCCAGGAGCACCTTCAGTTTGCGATCCTTGGCGGATAGGCTGGCCTGCAAGCAAACCAATTACAAACTATATTATTTATTACAAACCGATTATATTTTAAATAAGAGTTGGGGATTAGAGGAATTATAAATGCTAATTATATGGCACTGTCAGGTCGTAATCCGTACAAGAATTTTCATTTAGATTTCAAGGATTAAAGTGGTGCAGGTAAAGTAACCTGCCACGCCTCACCTTCACCGTGTTGAGCTCCGCCTGCACCTTGTGGCTGGGTAGCTTTAGCATAAACTCCTTGAGTGCCGCATAGAGTTGTTGGGCCTCAGTCAGGGCACGCTCCTGTTCCAAAGCAGCCACGTTCTGGCCGAGCAGCTGTTTGCGCAGGATGTGTATGCGTTCGAGCAGATCCATTTTCTCGGGATCCTTGCCGCGCAGCAGACGCCAGCGATGCACATTCATCGGCGTCATCATTTCGTCCTGCAGTGCACGCGCCTTGATCCGCTCCTGGTTGAGCAGTCGCTGCATTTGCAGCAGTTCCTGCCGCAAGTCGGCGGCACTCTCACGATCGGCGCGCAGAACATTCCGTTCGGTGCGCAAATTCTTGATCTCGACGCCCATCAGACGCATATCGTCCTGGCACTGGGTGCACTGGCGCTCCGTCTGATCGTGAACGGTCTGCAGATTCTCCAGCGTGTGCTGGAGTCGAGCATATTCGTCATTGCGCTTGGTCAGCGCCGCACTGATCGAGTTCTTCTCGTTCATCAGGTTGTCGACATCCTTGCGCAGACGACCCAATCGCTGCTCGTCCTCCTGCAGCGACTTGGCATGCCGATCGTTCTCCTTCCGCTTGTCCAGCAGCTCCGCCTTGGTGTGCTGCTGCCCCAACTGGGCGTGGCGCACATCGTTGCGCAGCAGACGACGCTCTTTCTCCATGCGATCGAGTTGCAGCTGCAGCTTGCTCAGCTCCCCATCGCGATACGTAATCTTGCTCTTGAGCGCCTCGATCTGCGCCTGCAGATTGCCAACCACATCTCGCAGCTTTTGGCGTTCCTCGTCCAAGGTTTGCAACGAACGCTGCAGACCTTGTCGCTCATTGGTTAGTGTCTCATGCTGATGCAGAAACTTGGAGCACTTCGCTTCCAGATCGCTTATGGTTCGCTTCAGCTCAATCACATAGTTCTCCTTGAGGTGAATCTCATCTGTGGATTAAAATGTGATTTAATGTAAACTGGAGTTGGGAGTAATGATTGGTTGACTTACTTTGCAGCAAATCGACTTTGTCAATCCACTGCTGAATCTCGTCGAGCTTTTTCGTCTTCTCCTTCTTCTGCTTCTTCAGATCCTCCTGCAGTTTCTTCATTTTGAGATCCATGCTGCTGACTGTGTCCTTCAGAGCGCGCACCTCATGCTGCGACTCCTGGAACAGGGCGCTGCTCTGCTCGGCGCTCTGATGTTCTCCCTTCACTTCCCGCTTGAGCACATCCCGTTCCTTGGTCAGATTCTCGTTGTTCTTCTCGAAATGATGCACCACTCGCCGCATGGACTCCAGCTCCTTATCCTGTGTGCTCATCTGCGTTCTGCAAAGCATTTTAATTAGAATTTGTGTTTGCTGAACCCACTTGGAACCCACTTGAGTCGCATGTTCTCTTGCTCCACCTCCTGCTTGGACATCTCCAGGCCGCCATATCTGCGTGCGATAGTTTCCTGAGATTTGGCCAGTTTGGCGTTATCCTGACGCTGCTTGATGAGCTCATCCTCGCGCATCTTGAGCAGCGTTATTTTCTGATTTAGTGCACGCCTGTTTTTATCCCGCTCCTGCACGGTGTACTCCAGATCCACTGTAATCTTGGCCAGCTTATTGCAGGTGCTGTTGTGCAGCGTATTCAAATGCTCCATATTCGTCTTCAGTGAGAGTATCTGCAGATTCTGACGCACTTTCACCTTGGTCAGGTGCTCGTTGACCGCCTTGATGTGCGCTATTTGCTCCAGATACTTTGTCTCCTCGCTCTTCATCGCGCTCAGCTCTTTGGTTAGCGCGTCGCACTTCCGTTTCAAATTACAGGCATCGCTGGAAGTTTCCTGAACGAAAAGAAAAACAAAACTTGTTTTAAAATTAAGAACATAAAAAAAACTTGTTTTCCAATTAGAAAAAATATATTTAAATAAAAAAATCAATAGGAAAATAATTTCAAATTTCAATTACATTGAATTAAATCATAATTTATACTACACACATCGAGCAGCTTGAGCAGCTCCTTGTTTTTGCCCTCCAGTGCCTGGATGGTGGTCTCCACCTCGGCGGAGTAGGTGCGTTGCATCTGGAGGCGTTTGTTCAATTCTTTGATTTCGCCTTGGAGTCTTTCGCACTCCTTGCTGTCCTCCCGCTTGTTGCTCATGGCGCGACCTTTTTCATTTAGAAATGCCACCATTTCCTCGGCTGCATCCAATTTTTGGCGCAGACTCAGCACCTCGTCCTGAGCCGACTGCTCGCGTATTTGAGCAGCATCCTTCTGCTTCCAGGCGCCCTCTAATAAAACCAAAAAACAAATGTGTAAATTCCAAGTATTCTATGAGGATTGCACTTCACCTCACCTATAACACCACGCAGCTGCTCGATTGTCGCCATGTCCAGTTTGCTGAGATGTGCGGCATTTTCGAGTCGTGCCTCCAGTTCGGTGATCTGTTCGCGCAGCTCCTGCGAGCGACTCTCCTCCATGCGCAGATCATTCTTGTAGCGAGTGCCACAGATGAGCAGACGCTGCACATTGTCCGCATTGTTCGGCGTATCCTTTTGACGCAGCGCCTTTGTTGCCTATAAATTGCATTAATTAAGGATTGAGATGCCAGCGTATCGAGTCAAGAGCAGACGTATCTCACTTCGGGCATCTTCTCGCTGAGTTCCCTAAAGAAGTCATCATCGAAGTCTTCGGGCACCAGCGGCTCATCCTCAGATCCAGAAGCTTTCGACATTTTCAATGATTTGGTTGACAATGGGTGCTTTCACTTTCACCTTTCTCCAATTCTTCTTATCGACTAAACCCAAAATCGTTTGAATTTGGCATCCTGGCAACAAGTTGCCATACCGGCGCAAGGCTCCATAACAACGCATCCACTCAACAAGTTAAATGTTTATAAATTGAGCGAAGTATTGTTTATTTGCAGGCTACATGCCTAATTTCTATAACCATAGATACGTTAAATACCAAGTCAAATTTTATGAGCTTCGGATTAAAACTTAACAACTCTTAAGATAAGAATATATATTATTAAATATAAAAAATATCAATTTTAACGTATTACGAAATAATATTTTTAATAATTTTGGTATATATAAATAGGGAAATTTGAATAACATCCGATTGTATATTACTTCCAATTAATATTAATAAATGCTAACAAAATGGAAATGCTCTACTTAATAATATAAGAACATCAACTGGTTGGCTATGAAGACATCACAAAAGCTTTAGTCCTGCGCATAAACGTAGGCCAAGGACTATGGCCACTCATCCTCAAAGGGTGCATCATGGACAGTGTGAAAAGTGAGCCCGTTGCCTTCCGGTCGATGCCATGAGGGTAGGAGCACGGTGCGCCAAAAGGATCTTTAAGGGAAGTGCGCTAGTCTTATATCAAAGTCAGAAGTCTGTTTTAAAACAAATTACCTGCCACGCACGAGACCCAGAAACAGTTTCCAGTTCTTTTTGCTACCAAAATTGTAGGGATTGATGTATATGCGGTTGACCTGCAGGAAACGTTTAGTTTCTGCCTCATTAATATGCGACTCGACGCTTGTCTCGCCGCGTGTAATTAACTTGGCATGCCAGGTGCAAAGGCTGCCCAAGGCAATCACCACAGCCACATTAGTAACGGCCATAAACCACAAGATACGCCGCCGTGCGGGCGAAGACTCATCCGTGTGCACAGCAGGAGTGGGCAGATTGTGGACAGCTGCTGGCAACAAGATGTCATCATATTCATGTGGATGCGTCTGTCAGCCAAACAAATATGAATATAAATAAGTTTGTAATAAAACATGTCACACAATTATCTTACAACAGGAATTATATGTCCACTTAGATTGTATTGAACTGGATGACCTTCGAGCGGTTCCAACTCAGTCCAAGGTTCACTATGATCCAGCCAAAGATATTTGTGGCCGATCTCGACGCCAGCCACAATGAGTAGCAAACAGCCCATCGTTGTGTACAGCATATAAAGGAAGAAGTAGCGATGATTGGCGTAGCCAACACAGTTATTAAGCCAGGCTAAATATGAATTTGTGTTATTAACTAAAATAGGGGATATGAAATCATATATGTACTCACGACAATGATGATCCATCTTCAAGATGCAGCGATTGCAGACGGAACAGTGATGAGTTCGCGGCGGCTTTGGCGTAATGCACTTGGAGCACATACTGACCGCCTCCACCTGCGAGACTCCCTCAGGTGGATGGCCAGGTGGTGTTATTACAGCCATCACATAGTGGAAGATGATGTTCAACAGCACCCAATTGCCAAAGATGAGCAATAAAATCGTTGCCAATTGGCTTTTAGCCCACCAAAAGGGCAGACCAATCCAATAGGCAATGCTGACAACGACAGTGGTCAAAACAGCAACACCCACTACGAAAAACTGAAAGTAAAGTAAATATTAAACTCGATGTCTACGAGGAGATATCTTCTCCACTTTTGCTGTTTTCACAGTGTCTCCTCAGATGCCGATCACTTACTGGGCCCAAGCAGTGTGTATAATTGTCGACTATCCAGAAGATCGGTGTCATGCACACATCGATGGCATAGCTGGAATTCATGTGCGAATTGATCGTCAGCGAGTGCCAGCAGTGCTTCATATAAGACCAGCGTAGGCGAAAAGTTGAGCTGCCGGCAAATGAAACATAAGCAATAAACATAAAAAAAGAAACAACAAAATATATACAACAAAACTTAATGTGGATCTTTAAACTTACAAAATATTCTGGTTGGCGCCAAGGCGCCATTTAATACGCGCCATTGAAAAACACTTTAAGCTTAAATAGTCGAGATTTTAATATATTTTAAATAAACAATCGTATTTGCATCTTATTGCTTATGTTTACAGTCAGCTGTTCGCTGCAAAAAACCTGTGCGCTAAAGCGCAACAAACTTATCGTTTAACCACCACAGAAACAAAAACGTATTTATCGATATATTAGCTCAGTTGCAACAGCATTTTTAATTCAAATTTGGTTTCTTAATTGAGCGAAAATCTGAGCGTAAGATCGTTTTGGATGAGAAACAATAAAAATCCGGCAACCGTTGACAAAATTATATTGGTCACTGAGTTGTTCAGTTCAAACAGACCCATCGGCACTAACTTGTATTTAATCAGGGACACATCCAACCAAAATGCATCCACAACTTGCTTAAAACGTATATCGGCGTGCTCCTGATTGATTTGCTGCAGCATATTACCCGTCTCCTTGGCCTGCAGCAAAGTCAGAGTTATTTTTGTAAGAAAACCAATATATACATATGTATATATATATATATATATATATACTCATTGTATTTACCTGCTCGATAGCTTTCTGGCTGATACGCGCCAGCAAATACATTTCCGTAAACGGAACCACAATAAAAACCAAATGGACCAAGCTTTGAATCACATTATACGGTTGCTCGAGCAGAAGATGATCCGCAACAGCCTGATACAATGTGTAGCAACCCAGCGTTGTGCTGATCAAATTGATGGCCATCGAGACGACAAGCGAGAAGGCGGTGAGCTCCAAGTATGCAATCGAGTAACCCGTTGACATCGTATATTTATTTTTCAACTCGTCTACGCGATCGGCCAAGTCACAGAAACGCTGCATGCGATAGAAGCGCTTCTGCAGGATCATCTCCGATGGTGTCTGCAATCTATTGACTTCGGCGACAATGCTGCGCAATTTGTTGTTAATCTCGGCGATTACAAGCTCGGCCATTACCATGCTGCCAAAGAAACAGTTATTAATCTGATTGGCCAGATAAATGGGAATCATTATTTTAAGAGTGATCATCCAATTTTGCTGCGAATGGTACAGCGTTAGAGTCAATTGCAACAGCAATGGGCAACCGAACCATTTGAGGCAGGCCAACACCAGTGGTCGTCCCGCCGATCTCATCGATATATTTAAAAAGTTGATGGTGCTAAATAAAGGTATACTATTTTGAAAACTCAATATTTCGGGCATTATGGTCCACTGAGTGACGTAGTTGAACAGGCCCACACAGGCATTCATATAGCAATAAATCTGAATGGGATTGCGTAGATCGATTTTCCCGTTATCGTAATCTTCCCATATGCGATTTCCATAGAATATGCCAAAGAACGTGGCAACAGCCAAACAATAAATGCCCAGCAACTTGTTAAACACAAACTGGTTCTGCTTCCAGCAAAAGCGACCTGGATACAATCCGTAGGCGATGTTCTGCACTATGGAAACTGCTATCCAACACAGCAGAACTTTACTGGCCAGTATCCAGGAATCAGTCCGTCGAGGCTTGTTCCAGCTGAGCTTTATGCGGCGTCCTGCCGCTTTCACGTATTGCATGGCACTGGCAAGGATAAACTTTGATTTAATTGCTTATTAATTCGAGCGCGTCGTCCTTATCGGTCACAGGACACGCAACCTGTTAGCTGCCACAAAATGGGCCACATACTAATTAAGAGTGCTCTTTGCTCTCTATGCGAGAGTGTTCGACTAGCAGATACCCAGCTCTAATTTGTATATTAAAAATAACATTTTAAATATATGTAAAGTATTTTAAATTGGGTTATATTTGGTTATCTGTCAAAATACGACATCTCTTCTCCGCTTGAGGATTCCTCGGCCTGTTCATATGCAACCTCCTCATCCCAACTAGCAAGCTGATTAGCAGGCGACAAGAGTTTATCGGGCGAGCTAATGTCATTCGGCGCTCGATTCTCGATGTCATGATTGATATTGCGGTCTGGATCGACGCCTTGGACAACATATTTGCAGGGACATTGCGAAGGGAGCTGAACCGGCCACAATTTGTTCAGTTCATCCAGTATGTTCATCTTCCTGCACAGTGCTTCGCCTCTAATGTTCATCGTCCTCGAGCTGACGCAACAGACACCGATTTGTTTCTGTGAAACGAAATTGGAATTATGCTCCAAATGCATTTTAGCCAGATTTACTCACCATTTGTTCTAAGCACTCTCTGTTTTTATCCCAATGCATGAATCAATTATTAATTTTCTTTGAAAAAATAGTGATTCAGTTCAATTGAAAACTTTTAGGCAGAAGATTCTAGAATGTAGCACAAATTAAATTGATATGTCTAAGATTCCTTCCTGTGTCTTCTTATAAATCCATTCATATAGATAGTAGAATGAATAATTAAGAATTAAAGATATTATTGAAGAATTGTGCTTAATAAATGTATTTACTTTATTTGTCTGCTCGTCTGTTTACATCTTTTATTTAACATCTGATTTTCTTTGTAATAGAGATGGCAACATGTCAATTTGAGTTCAAAACAAGTAAGAGTGCTGAGCCCTAGCCTAGCCCTGAGCCTATTTGAAATAAATTCTAGTTTTCTTGGAAAATTTCCCTTTACCACTTTTAACACATTTTAAATGGGTTCAGTGTATAAAAATTCATGAAAATATATCGAAAGCACAAGTATAGTTTTGAAATGATTTCAATAATAATACAAAATAGAGATGGGGTGACTGTCCCCAAAATCATTTGACGCCGCAATGTCAGTTTCGAGTTTGTGAATAAAAAACAAACAATGCCATCGTAATTGAAGACGATATTTTTTTTGGGATCTTAGAAAATGAGGGGACTGGAATAATTATGTGTTTTAATCGATAATTGTTGAGAATTTTGATTTGTGCATATGCAGTGTCTCACAGTTCAAAAGGCGCAGTGCCTAGCAAAAAATTTAAAGTGCTATAAGGTTTAAACAAAGAAACAAACGCAAAATGTTTAAATGCCAATTTGTTTTATGTTATATCATTTTAGCTATTTGGCGATAAGAATATCCAATCTGGAAGTGTTCCAGGATGAGATTTCGTTGCTCAATGGTAGTCCGTTTGTCCATAGTCCTTGTTGGCTGGTGGCACCCGAGATGCAGGATATAACTAAACTGACTACGAAGGATTGGTCTATTTATACCGAAAATAATCAACATGACAACAATGCATAAATAAAATTGTAAATGATTCAGCAATTAACAAATTGATTTATTGTAAAATGCATTGGCGATATTATATTTGATGCTGGCTTTGTATAAGAAAGTACATCAACTGTTTCTAGAGGGGTTTGTAGTCCAATTTGGTTTCGAGTTTCTTGTTGTCCGCCGTTTTGCGTACCGCCTTCATGAAGTCCTCCTGGATGACGTATTCACGCTCCTCGCGCAGTGCAAAAAGACCCGCCTCGGTGCAAATATTGCGAAGATCGGCGCCATTGAACAAGTCCGAGAGTTTGACGACCGCCTCGTAATCAATTTCGCCACGCTTCGCCAGAGGAGCCGCATGAATCTTGAGTATTTCGAGGCGAGCGATCTCATTGGGCAGTGGTATTTCCAATTTGCGATCCAAGCGACCCGGACGCAACAGGGCCGGATCTAGAGTGTCCGGACGATTGGTCGCCATGATAATCTTGACCTGGCCAAGAGCATCGAAGCCGTCCATCTGGTTAAGCAGCTCCATGAGGGTGCGCTGAATCTCACGATCCGAGGAGGTGCCCTCCGAAAAGCGACGCCCGCCAATTGCATCGATCTCATCCATGAAAATGATGCACGGCTGATGGTCGCGTGCATAGTTGAACATCTCCCGGATGAGACGAGCACTCTCCCCAATATACTTGTCAACGATAGCTGAGGAGACGACCTTCAGGAAGTTCGCATCCATCTGTGAGGCAATGGCGCGTGCCAGCAGCGTCTTCCCAGTGCCCGGCGGCCCGTAAAGCAGACAGCCCTTGGGTGGACTGATGCCCACCCGTACGAACAGATCGGGATTCAACAGTGGCAGTTCAATCACCTCGCGCAACTCGCGAATCTGATCACCCAAGCCACCGATGGCTGAGTAGTCAATATTGCCAGGATCCTCATGTGACATATTGTACACCTGGGGATCCACCTCACGTGGCAAATAACGCATTATGGTCAGCGTCGTAATGTCTAAGGCCACTCGAGTGCCAGCCTTTAGTTTCTCCTTGTTCAACTGGCGGCGACAGCCGACGATGTATCGCGGCCCATGGGTCGACTTGACAATGAAGTTGTCCGGCGTTAGCTGCTTGATCACCTCGCCAAGCATTTGGCCAACACTCTGCAGTGCCTTCAGATCATCCTCCGATTTCTCGAAGGCAGATTGTTGATCCTTGAGCTTGTTTCGCAGCGCCTTCAGGCGCGACTCGAGTTCGCGGTGCTCCAAGAGTTTGGTGCGGTACGAGGCTAATGCATTTTTGCGCTCATTGTCCATCGATGGAGGTGCATTATTCGATGTCATTCTCAGTACAGAAATCAATTTTGTGATTACAATTGAAATATTCAACGTTGATGCGTTAAAATGCGCTATAACTGCAAATCACCTTTAACGAATTTGACGTTCAAAACAAATATGGCAAGTGACAGGGTTGCTAAGTAGTTAAATAAAGTAAAGTCTTCTGCTAACAACGATTTAAGAGTGGAAATAATACTAGTGTTTTCAGTATTTTAAGCTACCGCACTTTTATCAGTTTACTACATTTTAAACAGATATTCAACGCATTTCATCATATTATTATTTACGTTCGAAATTCACTTGTTTTATTGCATTTTTAAGTTCAATTTAGTCAGCGCACTGTTCATGTTACTATCCAGTTTTATTCAGAAATTAGGGTTTCACACAAAGTAAATTTAAATAATAATCAATAGATTCCGTTATAAATATATTTAATATACAAGAAACTTCTATCGATAGTTGTACTAAATTAATATAGCCTAATGAACAACCGATAGTTAGTAGCAGCGCTTGTTAGTGTTTAAATAATTGTAATTGAGTCGTTGAGACTTATTTCGAGTAAATACTGCAACAATAACTGACATCAAACGTCAATAAAATTGCTTATGTAAATAAGACAAGAAAAGTTTGCGTTGTAATCAAATGTTGTTCGCTGCTAATAACAGCAGAGTAAATGTTAATGTTATTGCCCATTTTATGACACGCTGTTAAATAACATTCCACCTGGTTGATTGGCCGAATTTCTTTTAGTCCACACAAAACGTCGCGTCGCAGATGAATATTAAAATTCGTAAAAGCGAATAAAATTTGCTGCAGCGAAAAATGTTTAATAATAATGTGTAGTGAAACGATTGCTATAACAATCATAATGTATACAGATGCTCGGATAATTGCGAGACTCCGCAGTGCAATTGGCTGCTGGGCGAGCGAATGTGTAGACATAAAATAAAACCAACACAGAAAAAAAACAGAAAAATTACAACAAACAAGCGAAAAGCAGAAACAGAAGCAGAGGCAACGTCAGCTTCGACGTTTGTTGCGGTCGGACGGATAAATTTCTGCTTTGCTTTGCTCGACTCGTTGTTGCAATTAGTTTCTCCGGGGTGCTCCGCTGGACAAAGTGCGAGAAGAAAGTGTGTATGTGTGTGTGTGTGCGTGTGTGTGTGTGTGTGTGTGTGCGAGAGTGTGCGGATTTATTTATGTTCAACTAAGCGAAATCAAACGAATTTAGTTTAAGAATGTTTGTGTGCAAATATTAAGTATAAGAAACGCAAAAGTGCAAAAATGTTTACGAAGAAATCGCATGCCGATGTCAAAAAGTCGACGGCCAAGCTGCAAGATTGCAAAAAGGATTCGGCCTCCCGCCTGCGACACCTGCGCACCATATTAGGTAATGTACATTGATTCAACGCCTCTTAACAAATTTATATAAAAAATAATAATACAATAAACTATGCAAACAAGAAAACGGGTTGTATATATATGATTGTTGTTATTGGTTGGTTTTTAGCTGGTCAGGTGGGCGTTTTAGCCATGAATGTTGCCATTCAAATGAACCAATTTTGTTGCTTATTACTTTTTTACATATCTAGTTAATGTTATTTCCTGTTGAAGCACCACAGAACAAACACACACACATATGCATTTGTATTTACATATTAATAAGCTGAAGCGGATGCATGCCTTCTATTTGTGGTACTTCTATTTCTGCTGCTGTTATTTCTATACTGTTAATCATAGTACTACAAATAACACACATATGTACTCAAAAGCATAGCTCAACAAATGGCGGCCACATTAATTTATGCAAAAAGTACTACACACACACATATATACAACATACAAGCAGACACACACACACATCCAAATGCAAATAGCAAATAGCGCGCAATGTGTGAAAAACGTCAAATGATAAACGCGGCACAAAAAAAAAATATTACGAAGCTAACCAACCAACTGGCGGCAACTGTTGACTGAGTGGCAACTTTGCTGCTACAATTTCAACACCAGCCAAATACATGCATGTGCACATACATTCATACAAGTGCACACACACACACTTGTATACATATTTATTATATTTATATAAATATATGAATGTACAGTGGCAGGGGACAGAGGGGCAGACGGGGTGCACTGTGTAACTTTCTTTTTGTGTCATTGAACGGAGCTATTTCGAAAACCACCCAACAGGTGCACGTTCAGTACTCCATTGTTGATTGTTGTTGTTATTCCTGTTGTTGTTATTGCTGTTGTTACTTGGCAAATTACACGCAGTTTGTGCTACACACACACACACACACACACACACACACAGATACACATACAATTGTACACAAACTTATGTAGCTAGTTCTTTTTTCATTTTTGCCCAATTGTTTGTAACATTATCAACATCAACTCAGCGTCGTGCGTTGTATTTTTTTGCGTTTGGTGGCCTTCTATGTGAAACCAGTTTTAAAGGTTTCTTGGCCTACTCTTTTCTCTCAACGTTTAGCTTTCTTCTGTTTTGCAGCGTTTCGCTGATGACAGCAATGCCGGCAGCTGGCTTACCCCCCCTAGTCCTCCTCTCCCTTCACATTCATAGTGCTCTCGCACTGATTCATCAAATGGTTGTTTTTCAACGCATTTTTTAAATCTCGTCAATCTGCGGTTTTTTGCCCATTCGTCATTTGCGGTTATTCTTGTGACCAAAGACTGCAGCGACAGAGAACACACAATTATGGAAATTATCGAGTCGATATCGTTGTCTGGGTACGGTGAACATCTCCATATTATTAAAACTGTAACTAAGAACTAAATGTTATCAGTATTTTTCAGATATCTATTGCAATTACTTATTAAATGTAGTAAATTTCAAGAATTGACCACGTATTGTTTTTTATAGACTATTAAAATGTATGTGTAAAATATATCATTGTATATTATGTTGTCATTACATTTTAAGCTTTAATCACACACGTGTTTGACATTATTGGGGGACCACTGTACTTCCATGTGCCTGACTGTTTGTTGGCCAATCGATGGGGGCGCTGCGTCACGTGTTGCCCCAAGTAGGAAGCAGGCTGCTCTTATCAGCTAATTGCAGAATGAGATTACTCGGATTGGGAGACGAGACGTGCATACAACAAATATTAAAAACTTAATGACAAAATAATAATAATAATAAATTCGTATCTCTTGCTCTTTGCAGATAATGTGGACTATGAGGAGTCAAAGTCGCTGTTCGAGACGAATTATAGTCATGTCTATTTTATACTCTATGACACCTTCATTCAGGCCGAGGCCAATCTCAAGCAGAAAGGTAATTAAATATACACAAGTACATAAGTAACACTTAAGTCATTTAAGTTATACACACACTTTTTATAGTTCCACTTATTTGTGTATTCTTTTGTTTAAACTTTTGTCTACCAATTAAGAAAGCGAATCGCCTTCAAAATTTATGATTGCTTCTATTTTTTGTGTATCGTCGTTTATCTCTAATGTCTTATGTTAATTATGTTTTGGTCCCCCTTATTATGTTATTCAGAGATAGCTAAACAGCTAAACAAAAAATTATTTCCTTCTATTTTTATGCCTTCTCTTTTGTATACCCTTACCGGCAGAACTTCCGTTTCACATTGGTAAGTTTGTGTGTTAACTCTCTGAACCTGAACTCATTGGGTAATCCATCAGCATCCACATATTCTCCCGACTTTGCTTTGATATCGAATTTCCCCCCCACCCACACACCCATCCACATTTTGCGATGCATTCGGTTTCTCATTTTCATTTTCCTTTGATTCATATACATATTTGGCATTTCCCTTTTTGAATGCTTGCCTGTTTCATTCTAGCGTTTCCTTATGAAATTTGGTTTTTCATTTGAATAACTTGAGCTATGCCGTCTTCACTTTTCCTTTACCAAGTTCAAATACTAACTTTTTGCTTAATTGCAATATGATCTAATCGAAAGAGTTTTCTGCGTTTCCTTGACGACAAAGTAAATCGGAACCCACAACAATTAACGCATCAGCTCATTATCAAATCTGTTTCCATTTCCATTTAGAAGCTTTATTTAAAGATAAAGTTGGTAAGCAAAATTTCAAAAGTCACGTTTCGACAGCATTTTGTTTGACTCGAGCTTAATTTAGCGATTTCTTGACGAAACTTCACAATTGGAACATGTAAATCTGCTCATCTAATAAGATTGCTCATCGACTCCTGCTCCACTCGCACTTTCTCTCTTGCACTCTCGCATTTACCTGCTTTAGTAGGACTCTTTAATTGCCTGCAAAAGGAGTAATGAATTTGTGTAAAAGAAATACGTTTTTTAATACAATTACAATTGCATGTCAATCGTAGTGCACAAGGCGCATCGCGAGGAACTGGATGGCTCGCTATGGCTGCTGGAGAAGATACTGTGCCTGCTGCCGGAGCTGTTGGCTCGTCGCTGGCAGTGTCACTCGCTCAGTCGCATTATGGCCAAGCTGCTGCACCTGGGCAACTCGCCCAAGCTGCGGCGCGAGGGTGTCAAGTGAGTTGTTGAATGATTTAACATTTTCGCCAGCTGAGATTCGACTAAATCCCGTTTCAATTGACAGATACTTTCTGCTGTGGTATCAGACACTCGGCGACAATGCGCCCAGCTATGTGCATGCCATGTACGCGGACTTGATACCCGGATTAATAGTGCCACAGAAGGGAGGCGTTGTGGGACCCGATACGGAATTCAGTGCAACCGATTTTCTATCGCATCCGAATATGAAGGCTGATGGTGGCATGGCATCCGTTTTCCACGACAATGCCTTCTCGCATCCGGTGCAAAGCTCCGAGGTGGTCGCCCTGCTGCCGCCCTCATCGAGCGAGAAATCGGCGCCGCCAGATCCACGCGACGGCCTCGAAGTGCTGCTCAATAGCATGGTGCAAACGGCGGCGTGTCTGCGATGGCGCGACAATCGCGCCCAGAAGGATCATCGAGCGTTTGCCTTTCTGCTGCAACGGTTCAAGGATGTGTTTCTGCCGGTGTTCTCGCCCAGCTTTGATGCGAGCACCTCGATCTATAATCCGCGCCTGGAAATGCCCGTCATGCGCTCCATCCACAAGAAGGAGGAGGTGATGGCCTCCTGTGTGGTCGTCCTCATCAATTGGGTCTCACGCTTCACGCACGAACGGCTGCTCAGCAATCGGCTGGACTGCGCCCTGCACATCGAGGGTGTCGATCATGCCCGGCTCCTTGGCTACCAGCAGGGACTCATTGTGCGCGATGTGTTCTATGTGAGCCGGGAGAACATCAATTTTGTGCACGAGGTCTATCGTCAGGCGTTCCTCCTCAACTTCACATCGAAAACACAAATCGAGGCCATACGCACGGCCATCGCTGTCTATCGGGATTGGATGACGGGCAGCACACCGCCACCGTTTCTCCTCGAGCCCAACGATGAGCAATACTCACCGTTGACCACCACCAATGCCACATCGAATGCGGGCGGAACACCGCGTAGCCAACGGCTGAGGACACCCTCCTATGTGGGTGCCATGCATCAAGGCGGCACCAAGGAGCAGCAGCAGATGGTGCGTGCCGGCATGCAGAATGTGCTGCAAGTCTTTGTGACGAATGCGGCGAATGTGTTTCTCGTGAACACCGCCAATCTCAACATTTGTTTCAATACACGCTCACGGGACTATCGCTCGACGCCATTGGAGGAGCAGACGGAGATATGCAAGAAGGTGTTGAATGTCTATCGCACCATGGTGATGAACACACGCATGGAGACGCGCACCTGGGAACAAATGTTGCTTGTCCTTCTGCAAGTGACGTCCATTGTCCTGCATCAGAATCCGCCCGCGAGTGGCGCAAAGAGCGCCAATCTCGGCTACATACTCGGCTCGGCGATCATTCAGACGCTGATCGTCACCTGGATACGGGCGCATACAAATGTGCCCGTCAACGTGGTGCTGTGGGAGAAGTTTCTCGTCGTGCTCCAATCCTTGACGCATCGTGAGGAGCTCATCGTCGAGTGGAACAAGACCATTCAGACACTGACACGCGTCTTCTCGCGCTACACGTACGGCATCAATCTGCTCGATCTGCCGCTGGATCGTGTGGCCGAGACTCGTGGCAAGCGGCGGCGCATCGGCAGCGTCTGGCAGGGATCGGCCACCGGTGCAAACAACTCCAATGCCAACGCCACCAACACTGCTGGCAACAATGTGCATCGCGAACGCGAAAGCATTGCCGAATCGAACAGCAGTCGCTCCGATGAGAACTCCCATTCCGGGGGCAGCAATAGCCAGGCGCCGCTGCTGCAGGCCAACTCACATCGCAGCCATCACCAGCACTCGCAATCCCACGGTGGTGTCATTGGACACGGCACGCGTCCCGTGCCACTCACGCCGATGCTGAGCCGCAGCTACAGCGAGGGCAGCCTCGCCTCGGCGGCACGCAATTCCCGGATGCGTCGGCGACGCGCTACGGCACCCAAACCAGATGCCACAGTCATGACGACGCCCATCAGTATGTCGGGCAGTGCAGCACAGGATTTGAGACGCGCAATCTCTCTGGATTCGTTGGCGGCGCCCGTACGCAAGACTCGGCGACGACGTGGCTCACAGCTGGCCGTCGATGATGTGGATGGCTATGCGGATGCGGTTGGGGATCAGGTGGATCCGGACAATGAGAGCGCCGGTGGCGGTTCACGCAGTCCATCGCCGACGGCTAGCAGCGGCATCGAGGGCGGCTCCATCAAGGATGCCCAGCTGCACATCGATGTCCTCGCTGCGGACACGGGCAGCCTCGAGGATGGCAGCTCAGGCAGCTTTGTTGCCGGCGGCAACTATGGCAACTCGGAGCGTCGCTCGATAATGCTGGGCGGCACTGCTACTGGTTGGCTGCCCGACTCCACATCGATCATGTGGAAACGGATGCTGGGCGCCTTGGGCGATGTGAATCGCATACCCAAATCGGAGTTGCATGCGCAGGTGTTCAAGCATCTGCTGGAGATGACCCACAATCTGATCAAGATCAAACAGAATCAGGGCATCTCGACGGATAACCAAAGCACACCGCCACCACCAGCACTGGTGCCACCGATTGGCGTTGTGGCACCCTGGTGCTATGGTGCCCTCACCCTGGATCGTTCCTTCAAGAAGGGCAAATTGTGGGCGCTGCAGCTGCTCAGCGCTTTGGCGCTGCAGGGTGCCATTAATATGCAGCAGCTGCCGTTGTTCTATCATGCACTGCATCAGCTGCTCACTGGCGAGGATCGGGATCTGATCTATGCGATTATGAAGCATCTGGAGGGGCCACGTCTGCTCAGCCTGTTGCTGCCGGGACACACGTTGCTGCTGTTGGATCTGGTGCATGCCAGCGCCATTCTGCTCACCTCGCTCGAGGTCACGCGAAGCACTCCGCGCGCCGAGGTGGCCGCTTTATTGGGTTCACTGCTCTCGTATCCGGCCATGCTGCTGCCACGTCCGGTGCTACAGCCGACGCCGCAGAAATTCGAGCTGATGGAATGCCCCGATCTGCAGGATCACATACTCAACATTATGCTGCGTTGTGCCCGACGTGAGCCCTCCGCCAAGGCGCGCTGCATTGCCCTCTGCCAGCTGGGGCAGTGGCTGCTCCTGCGCCTCTCGCAGCCCAGCAGTCCCGACAAGGCGGCGACGGCGGCGGGTCAGCGTGCCCCGTTCCATCAGTCGGTGCCACATCCCAAGGATGTGCCACTGGCCAAGGACACAGCCAACAGCTATCATCCGCGAATACGCGAAGTGCTCCAGGTGCTGCTCCAAGCGTTGCAATTCAAGCATCACACCATCGCCGTCATCGCTGTCGATGCGCTCAAATTGTGCGCGGAACGCGGACGCCAATTGGCGGCCATTGAACGTCTGCCGCAACTGATAATCACCGCTCTATGCAAGGCGCTCGAGATCCATAACGTGGCCAAACTGAAGGATGCTGATAAAGTGGTGCTAACATCCCTGATGCTCTGCCTCGGTGAGTTCTGCATGGCCATTCCGGCAGCCATAATGCTGGCGCCCTACAACGATCAGGGCGACACTCTGGTGCTGCAGGTGCTGGGCGTCCTGTTGCAGGTGGCATCGGGTGCACCGCGTCACGAACGCGTCAAACTCACCGCAGACGATGATTTCGATATGCACATTGCCAGCGATGATCTGCAGGGCGATGGGCGTTTGCCCGAGGCAAGCTATCAGACATTGGAAACGATTCAGGGATGCATCTCGGCGGTTCGGTTGTGTGCCCGGGCGGTGGCCATGCATCTGGTCACCCATCTGGGACACTTTCCCATGGGCATTGGCGCGTCGCGTCTTAGCTCCATGGTGGAGGAGCAGGATGACATCTACAGTGGCAGCATCGCTGGCAGTCAGCTGCAACGTCGCGATTCCATGGAGCTACCCTCGGTGGTCAGTGCCCAGAACATGCAGCTTTTTATGCTCAACACGGGCCTGGTGGCCAGTTTCATAGAGCTGCCCACGCTGAAGTTGCCGGGCGGCGGCATCACAGCTGGCCTGGTCACCGCCGAGAAACAGGTGCGTGTCCTGATGCGCGACCTCAATGGGAAGGCATGCTGGGATGCCTCCATACTCTATTCGGAGCCGCGCAAATGTGAACCGCTAGCCAGCTCCGAACGCTATGATGCATCGGCGAGGACGGCGAGAAGTGTGTCTCATGGCGGCATGGACTCGATGATGAAGGGGCAGGAGGTGCAGTTGCACACACGACACACGTTGCGTCATCGACCGCTGGGCGTGCTGCCGCTGGCCAAGGATGTGGCACCCGATTTGGACCAGCTGGACGATATGCTCTCGTACATTGGTCACACGAGTCCCGAGTGTGTGCCGCCATGCATTGCGGAGCTGAATGCACCGTGTGCCAGTCCGTTGAGCAGCGCCCAGGAGGCACAGGCCATATCCGTTATACTCAGCCAGCGTCTCCTTGAGCAGGAGTATGTGGCACACACGGCACAGCACGCTCTGCGACATGCCGGCTCCAGTTCATCCCTACAGCCCGATCAGCGTTCGCTGCACAGCGCCTCCGTATCGTTTGATTCGTTTACGGGCGCTGGCGCTGGCAGCTTGCAGGGACGCGTCGAGACGCCCTTCCAATACTGTCGCCTGCTGTTCGCCCATCTCGGTCTGGCCGGCTGGGAGCGACGCTCGCGCACTCATCTGCTGCAGCGCAGCGAGAAATTGTTGCGCGAGTTGCGCAACGTCGATGTGCAAAAGTGCCGCGAGACGCACAAAATGGCCGTCATCTATGTGGCCGCCGGGCAGGAGGATAAGTCGAGCATTCTGCGGAATACGAACGGCAGCAGCATGTACGAAATGTTTGTCTCAGCACTCGGCTGGGAAATTGAGCTGGAGACGCACAATGGTTTTCTGGGCGGTTTGCCGCGTCAGGGCTGTGGTGCGACGGCACCGTATTATGCCACACCCTTCCTTGAGGTTGTCTACCATGTGGCGACACGCATGCCCTCCGACTCATCGGAGGCGATGCTGCTGAAGACACGGCATCTGGGCAACGATGAGGTGCACATCGTGTGGAGCGAACATCATCGCGACTACAGACGCGACATTCTGCCGACGGAGTTCTGCGATGTGCTCATCGTTGTCTATCCGCTGCGCAATGGCCTGTTCCGTGTGACGGTCAACAGGAAGCCGGAGGTGCCCTGGTTTGGGCCACTTGCCAACGAGAGTGTCGTCAGTGGTGCCTGCCTGGCCACCCTTATACGCGCCACGGCCATCAATGCGGGCCGCACCAAGCGCGCCGCCCTGCCGCTCTACCAGCAATTGTAAGTCCACTTTTAATTGCACGAAAGAAACCCAGAAAGTCACTCACAATTACTCAAATTGAAACGGAAAAAGAGAAAACAACATTTAAATACGCTTTCTTATGTCCGTAACCTTAACACAGATTTGCCTAAATAGAAATTTAAGTTTTATTTATTTGTTTTGAAGTGTCCAAGTCATTGCTTACTCATGCTTTACTTTTGTTGTAGCTATGAGGAGCGCAATCGGTCGCTGGACAGCGTCTCGACGCGCTACAAGGAGAGTACCACATTCGAAGACTTTGCCAGTCGCATTTACAACCCGATGCCGTTGTCCACTTTGAGCACATTGCGGGAATCAAATGCGAGCAGCGCTGGTGCTCCACTTGCTGCCGCACTAATCGATCACAATCGTGCCTCCGTCAAAGGTAATTTGAGTGCACACTGAAAGAAACAGTTCGAACAGTTTTATCTAATCGAAATTATTTGATTGCTTGCAGGCTGGGTGCAGGCATCCATTGATGCGACGCCAGTGCTTGGCATTGCGCCATCCGCTTCGGCTGGGTCAACGTCGGCCATGGAGGCCAATTCGAACAGCAGCATAACCTCGGCATCGCCACGCGGTCCCCGCAAGCTGGGTGCACCCTTCAAGAGTGTGACCAAGAAGCATTCGCTGCAACAAATTGTGATCGGCGGCAGTTCGGGTGGCAGTGCTGGTGGCGACACACCGCCCGAGAGTCCGACGTTGCCGCTGCGGCGCATCAAATAGAACAATTGCTCTACTACTGGCTGGCCATGGTTACTACTACTACAACTACTTACTATTCCTACCCCTAACTCAACTCATTCCCCGCTGCAAGAGACCAGAGCCAGAGAGGTGCGGCTATTCAAATAGCCAAGCAACTTTGCGGAGTTTTATTGAAAATGAATAGTATTGCAAAACACGTTTCCTGTTATGTTTATTATTATCATCACTATTATTATTATTATTTTCTTCTAATTTGTATTGTAATTTATTTCACAATCGATGCTTATTTAGTCTAACTACTCACTGTATTTAACTATTTATTTGCCACAATTCCAACAACCAATTGAAGAAAACGCATTGGAATTACGAAAGTTACGTATTTATATATATATATTAATCATATTGTTCGATTCAAATTCAAATGCGATTCCATGTTACTTACGTCCACTAATTAATCAAATTGTAATTATTTATTTTTGTTAGCTTTTACCCATAAGAGTGCATAATTCTAGTATTAAGCTTCACAATGTATAATTAACTTGAGTTTTATATATATATAGATTCTCAACTCGCTTGTCTGTTGTAATTTTGTGTAACATTCGCCTAACACACGCCCTCTATTCTTTTTTTTCTAGCACTTTAATATTTTATTATTCAACTTAATTTAATTGAATTTTGAAGATACTTTGAGATACAAATTCATAGAATTCGTTGATAAGTGTTGTGCACAATGCAAACAAAATCAAAATTTATTTATACAATTTACAATTCTGAAATCCAAATAACAATATATGTTAAATCTGCCCAATAAGCATAAACATTTACTAGTAGTATTACGTAATCGAGCTCTATGTATAGACAATCTAGCTGTAAGTATTCAAAAACTAAGAATCGTGGGCAATCCTTGTGTCCTGTCGATCCAATTATCTACGAATATTGTTCAAGCAATCGTGTTTTAATTATATGTAATTATATATTTGCAACAATAACAACAGCAACAGAAGCAAACAAATTGTTAAATGATTTAATAAGAAATGTGAGCCTTCATTTTGTATTGTTTAGCAAATAATTTCAACAAATTGATCAAATTTATATATACGCTATATATATATTTATATATATACGTTAATTTTATATTTATTTATATTATGGGGCAAGTAAAAAAAGAAGTTAATTGCAATGCGTTTTTGTTGCACAAATGTTTTATGAACTTTTAGTCTAATTAACACCAATAATATTTAGCAATTACCTATGTGTGTAAGACTTTTTTGTATACAAAACCAATAAATTCGTACAAAATTAAGCAACAAATTGCGAGCGACAAATGTTTTTGTAACTAACACCAAGTACGTGCATATTATATATATATACAAACAACTATATTCTACTATATACGATACTAATTTATTTAAGAAACAAACGAGTATTTTTCATAAAACAATAAATGCAATTCAATTCAAATTGAGTGAGTTCACCATTGACAACATTTCCTATATATCTAATGTCACACCCCAAAAAAGTTGGACGCCAGGTGTTACATTTAGGGGCCTGTACTTTTATACTAATTAACCGTTAACTCAGTTGGGCACGCAACGCTGAAAAGGTAATCCCAATGCAAGTCGTACATTTATTTGTTTTCAGGTGTCCCAAAACGAAGACTGGGTCGGTCATTGCCATCGCTGCGTGCAGGACCTACAATTAGGGGTGAATTGTGGCTAACACATACACACACACACACACACACGTACACACATAGTTCATAGACAGCTGCTTTGCCAAAAGAATGTAGACAGTCTGACTGACTAACTGACTGGCTGGCTGCCTTGCTTGACTGGCTGGCTGGCTGGCTGGCTGACTGGGATCTATGCTCAGTTTCTTACCACCGGCTAGTGACGCCACCAAATTTAAATTTGTTACACACACACACACACACACACACACACAGAGACGCATTGCTAGTCGTGTTTTCGTAGTCGATTGTGTCGCTTCTTGGATTGCGCTTAGTTCTATTCGAGCATTCGCTTCGTTTGAACGCGCTCGCTTCTAATTCTCTTCTCGTCTCTGAGCTAATACTACTGGTGCATCGAATAATTATCGTCTTAACAAATTTTGACACACTTTGGAAATGCGCAGTCAAGTGTTAAGTTTTTGCATTGCCATATTGTTAATTGTGTGCCTCATGTAGAGGGCAATTGGCAACTGGCAATTGGAGCATCAATCTGGGAATTATGCCTTGGCAAGCCTTACTATATCTGAGGCCACATCGGACAGAGAATGACGGTAAACACGCTAAAGAGTACGCCGCAAAGGATACGCCAAATTGGCGAAAGCTTGCAGATGCTCACCAAAGAGGCGCATCGCGAGGTGATGCGCTGTGAATGTAAGTAACTTTTAACTAAAATTAAAGAGATGATAACTTGGCTGGGTTTCAGTTTATTAAGAATTATCAATTATAAGTTAAGCTTAAATTGAATGGTGAACTTGTTAATAAATAAATACTTTAAGTCTAGTAAATTTCATTCGATTCTCAATTGAAACGTTTAGTTAAATATATTTTTTTACCTAAAAAAAAAATGGTTGTTTCAAGTTTTATGCTTTGTTGTTGTTAAATTGTAATTGTTGATTGCGTCAACTCAGCTTTTGTCCTTCAGCTGTGGCATTAGCAATATAATTGATTACCATCCACATATTTACCCCCCTTATTTGTTTAGTTTTTTATCTGTAAATATATCTATGTCGATTGCCTGTAACGTTGTAATAAATTCAAGAAACGTCACATCAAAGGCGGCTCTGTGTTGTGGCAGCGATTGCTAATTTGCATAAGCGGACAACGTCATCGCCAATTTAAACAGGGAACACACAAAAACTACGTTTTCATTTTCACATGTGGAAAAAAAAATCAAAAGCAAAAATTAAAATATAAATATGGATCTTTTTCTTCGAAATTTCCATTAGTGAACCGAAAAACAAATATTGGTTTTGTACAAATGTGTAATAGCTCCTGCAAAGATTACAGATCATAAAAGTGCTCGCAAATGAGCTCATCGTATGGAATTTATTTAAATAAGATATTGAATGCTAACATGATGATGGAACAATGGAACGATATATAAATATAAATGAACTTCGCAAACTCCGGACAAAACTAGTTATCATTATAGAATTGAATACATAATAAACTACTACAGCTTATGTTTGAAAGTCTTCCTTGACTGAACTTGACTGCTATAAATTAAACATGTTTATCCTGAGAAATGTCAAGTCACAAATCATTACAAGGATTAAAGAATCCTTTAAAGTTCTTATCATTGAACAAATATATTTATATTTCTCACATTGCTTGAGAACGGGTTAAGCAAAGTGTATATGATTAGATTAAGTTGTTAAATTAGCATTTTATTCCCCCAAAAAGCACACGAATGAAAACAGATGGTACATTTTTTTGAGGCATATAGATGAAGTTTGTGTTGAGCGAAAACTAGATGCCTGCCAAGCACGCGATTTAAATACATATTCCTTTCAAACAAACACACACACACACACATAATGTGGCAACTTCTTGGGGCATTGTGGTTGTTAATTAAGCTCACCTTGAGCCCTGAAAGCGGCTTTCGTTTTCAAGGTCATCGCCGATAATTGCATAACCAGAAAACAACTAAACCGGACCGATTTTAAAGAACATTATTCCATAAGAGGAAACACGCTGAAGGACAACCCAACAAAATATATAATTCTCTGATTTGAATGTGATATATAACACATATTACACATGTGTACCATATCTTGTTTCCCTTGAGCTAATCGGCAGAAGTTCATAAAATTATGCTGCCAAAAGTCGAGAACAATACAAACAACAAACAACAAGATATGGAAGAAATAACAGAAAAACAAATGCGAAACAAAATCAAAACAAAACAGAAAAGCGAACACAGCAACTTGAATAACCAGTTGCAAACTTGTCAAAATCAAAACAAAACACAAGAAACTCGCTACTTTTCGCTCTCTTTCTCTCTCTCTCTCTCTCTCTCTCTCTTTTTGTAAATATCTTTATTTCTGCTCAGTCGCTGCCTCAGTAGAGAGCAAATAATAAAATACTGGAAATATATGTTTGGCCAGCAAAATCAAATTCTGCCGCCGCCTCAGTGTCTGAGCAGCTGCGGTTGGCTTTGGTTCGATATCGGTGCGTGTTATGCGAGAGAGAGAGAGATAAATAGAGAGAGAGAGAGAGAGATTCCTGCTACATACTAATTCGGCAATCGGTTTGGTTTGTTTTGTGTTTTGTTTTTGTTTTCCAACGCTTGAGCGCTTCTATGCAAATGTTAGATAGAACAATAGTGAAAATAACATAAATATTCAATGAAACTGCCTTTTGGGCGTGACCGTGAACTGTGGTTCAGCCGGTTCGGAGTGTATTGCGGGAGTTTGAGTCTTGCCACAGAAAGTTCTATTTTTATACCCGTACAACACGCTAGCGTACACAGTCAGTGTAGTTCCTTAAAAAAAAGAAAGATTAACAATAGGTGTTAATTTTCGTAGTGACGTATACGTAATATGCCAAACAAATTCAAATCCATACAAATATTAGTAAAATCAACAAACTCGTTTCTTTTTGAGTTGGTATTTACCATCCAAACTATTAAATTTTCTCCTATTATTTCATTTTTGCGGTCGACTGATTTCTTATTTGTTCCGCTTTATTGAATGTAAAATCGAACGAGCACAAGTTTCACATTATTTTTGACTATTGCGTTTATTTCTTACCATCAGCACACAAAGTTCTTAGTATCTTGTTAAAAGCTTAATCAGCAAGTCGTAAAAAAAACCATTAAACTTTACAATCGCTAAACATATAAATTCTGGCGCCTCGATAAGAAAAACAAGAACACTTGATGGAAACCCAACATAAATTGTACTTCCATAAATAAACCAATAATGTAAATAATTGTTGAAAAAAAGAATAATGTGTGAGTGAAAGTGTGCTAAAAATATATTCTAATTCGCCACAAGTGGTATTTATTTATCTGCATTTCCGCGAAAATCAACGAATCCTACAAAAAAAAAAACGCAAAAATACAATTTAACAAAATATGCGACAATGGAGCTGATAAAAAAATACAAACAGGGAAAGCTGACAACTGGCGATATACGCTTGTTGAACCGTATGTTTATTCCTTATTTCTAGCATACATTTTCTATTCTTGTTATGAAATTTAAATCTATTGTTTCTCGGTCAGCAAAGGGCCTTTGGACAAATAAATAACAACCTTCGACTGAACTGGCCAAACAAAATTCGAATTCTATATATGTGAGGTTGACAATGCTAATTGAATTTTACAGAAGCTGGCCCCCAATTAGATATCGTGTTGACAGCAAAAATATTTTTATCAATTAGGGCAACATGTTGGCTGTCCAACAATCTGTCTGTCTGTCGTCTGTCAGCGTTTGTGTGGCATGCGTCTTTCATCAATAATGTTTTGCACAATTTTGATGAATGACTCTGACAGTGGCCAAGGCCAAGACACAAAAGACGATATTCAGTTTTCTTTGACTGAAATCAACAAATTTGATTGTAAACATTACTTTTATAATATAATTACGAATTATATTAACTGTAATATTTGCCATAAATGTAATTGCCATTATATGTGCGATAGAAAACGTTTTAATGTGCTAAAATGGCTAAAGGGTTTTGAAAATGTGTTAATTTGCATTGCTTGCTACTCGCTAATTGGCCACTGAATAATTGTTTTTTTTTTTACTTAGGGATTGTTCCGATAATTGACTGTTTGTGTTTGCTGAAATATTAATAAACAATTGCCTTGTGGAGTTTTATACACAAGTGCTGTGAGTGGGCGCAGTTCATAAAGGAATGCGCATACGCCATGTGGTTCATTTTCAATGGCATCAACAAATAGCTAAAAACAAACAACTTCCGCGAGAAATTGAATATAGTAAATGTTAACTGAGCTTAAATTGTAAACTAAATTTCAAATGGCTTTAAGGTAAATTATATGAGCTAAATAATCTGCCAAAGCGAAAACTATTGTTTACATATAGTTATTACTCTGACATACAGCTGGGATATCTGGAATTCAGTAGATTAAAGTATTTACAAGTAACATTGAACACTCATTTGCCACTCGATTCGAATTCTGCTAGCTTCATATCAAGTTTCAAGCCGTAATATTTATTTATAACTCGCTCGATGCTTCAGAATATTACGCCATCAGCCAAAAGTGCCGCTGCCCCTGGAGCCATATTCAGTTACACAAATCGGCAATTTGACTGACCAAATATAGTAGTTGTCGGCAGCGCTAATGACACTCTAGGCTAGCATTTTCACTAGTTTCGCATTGCCCTTTCCCTTACCCCCCGCAACAACAGCGGCACAGTTGAGGGGCAGTCTCTTAGTGGCAGAACAATGGCCCAATGGCGCTGTGTCTATTAACGCTTTGGCGTTTCTGGCACAGTTGGAGATGGGGTATGATGTCATTGTGTTGTTGCTGCGGCTCTCAAGTGCTCCATGCCCCATGCAACTCTCAGAATAAATCGCCATATAATACAACAAATATATATATATATATATATATATAAATACCGCATAAGTGAGACTCGCTTAGGAATATAAATAAACCAGCATTTATTACTATTTAAAAAATTTGTAGCTTATGCGTTCACTAGTGCATGAAAACGTTTATAATTCATTAGTCATTATTCATTTGTTCGCTCAATTCGTGTGTGCAACGTGTGAAGAGTGTCTGTCCATAATTAGTCCTTGCAAATCATTAAAATGGCAGCAGCCAATAAAGATCTCAAGTAATTTTCTACTTTTAGTCAACCGAACAGGAAAAAAGAAATCATCGTATTTATATCCCGACTTTTATGATGGAAAATATTTCAACTCGAATATTTGTTTGTTGACTTTTGGCACAATGCATTTCTCATTTTGCTTTGCGAAAAATTCATTTATTAAAATTAATTTTCCCCAACATTTTACAATTTGCTTGAACTCGGCATGACTGAATTTAAGCATCAATTGGAATGGATTTTATTGGGCAGGTCCGTCGCAAATTTCGACGTCATCGGCAAATGTTTGTTGTTATTGTTGCTGTTGTTGTTATTGCGTTCGTGGCTCGTTAACCAAGCCATTCAACATCTGCCATGATATCATGCCTCCAATATAAACTCAGCCCCGCCAACCAAATGCTAGTTTATCGACGGCGTATGTTTTCACAATGTCTTCTAGTAAATTTACGTATATGTATACAAAGAAACACCAGCCTCGCCTCTGCCCCCGAGTGCCGCCTCCAGCTTTGTCTGTAGAATGCTGTAAAAGATGCTGCGATGTTTTGTCAAAAACATATACACAACAATTAATCAAGTGTGCTTAAAATTCATATATATATGAAATATATAGATATCAAAAATAAACCATGCCTTAAAATAGTTGTAATACAAACAAACCCAATATTACACGCAATTCTTATGTTTATCTTCTTATTTTGTACACAGTTTCTATTCTATTCTATTTTATTCTATTCTATGCCATTGTTAATGGATACTATCTTTATACACAATATGCGTGGTTGGCCATGTTTAACTATTTGAAATGTTTATGCCTTGGTCTGGCGACGTGATTGTAATAAACAATTATTTTTGACGGCATTTAAGTTATTGAAATTATTTATATTTTTTGCATTTATCATCAAGTTTTGGTAAAGCCAGTTAAATTATAGAAAGCTTTAATTTAAAGGTGCGATAAACATTATAATTAGTGTTATTGTTATTATAGCTATTATTATAGCTAAGATCTTTTTAATAGTTATTACTTTTCTCATAATTATTATCATCCAGGGTGTCAAATCGAAACACATTTACTTTGCGATTCCGATTTATAAAAATTCCGATAAAGATTCAAGTATATATTCGGTTATGTATTGGAACCTTGACTATTGCGGTACACTACCGTTTCGTCATATTCTAAAAAAAATGTCAAATTTATGAGAAAAATTCAGTCGGGAGATGGGAAGTCCATGCGGTTCCAATTCTGATTCCAACTCCTGTTTGACACCCTTTTCTTACTTGATACTCATTTACCAATGAATGAATTTTTCTGAATCAGAATATATTTACTAATTTTATTTGTCTTATTTACATTCCTCAATTCTTACAGATATAGTAATATGTCTCATGGTGCTTGTGGCCACTTTCTCCATTATCTGGAGCGTTTCATTGCACTTGTTGTCCGGTGATTTCTACGATGGATTCATCAGTGCCAAAATTATGTTTAAGGAACGCGACCACATCGATAATAGAAGCAACGAAATTGGCAATAAGTATTTTGAAAAAGTGGGACAGCTTTTGTATGTCTCGAAAGAAGCACTGCAATCGCCGGAGATCGAAAGCCGTAAGTCTAATTTCGATTTCTGGCTAAGTATCATAGTTAACAATTTGTATCCTTGATAATTAGCAACACAAAAGTCAAAATACAAAATCGCACATATCTATGAGCCAAAAGAAAGTGATCTGCGACTGACGCATCTTATCAGCGATCACGAACCGAAGTTGAATGCACTGCAACAAACAACAACCACAAGCGAACCACCCAATAATGTGTTCAATGCCGAAGCGGATCGAAAGTTTCTAAATAGTGAGTACAAACAGCGAGATGGGGGAAACGGATATCTTTTCAAACATGCTAAATCTGATTTGATTTGATTTACTTCAGAATCCATCGATATTCATGCCACACGCTGGAGTCACGGACTTGGTGCACAATTTGTCTACGCCTTTCCGCTGATTTCGGAGGTGGTGGCCATCATTTGGACGGCAATGTGCATCATCTTCCAAACGGGCAACAAGAAAACATCGTTAGTATTTCAAATTGAGGATATAACAATAAAGTTTTATAAAAAAAATATCTGTTTGTGCAACACAGTTCTGACCACAATATCATTTATAGTAATTTTTGTTCTTGTATCCACAATTTTTATACTCGAAACCCATTGAAAATGGGTAAAAGGGGTGAAATGATTTTGTGCAAAAAGAACCAACTCCGACACCATAATATAACTATATATTTTTGATCAGTATCAAAAGCGGTGTTGATCGATTAGTCGAGGTCTCTAGACTTGAACCTTTTTACTGGTTTTTGTTGTTTTTATTTTAAAATCTTTCACATCTTTAAATGTTAATCACTAACTTATTATTATTATATATTTATTGATGATATTTGTCTGAGTTAATTTCCGTACTTCCTATAGAGATAGGATATATATTTCATGAAATTGTTAAAAATTAAAAACTATATATCGCATGAAAAATTTGCATAACTTGATCTGACTGCCAGGCTATTAAATCTATACCAACTCAACTAATAACTTTTCTTTTTTTTATGAATTTAATTTTTAGAGTACTGCCCAAGCCGTGGCGCATTGTTGTGCCTTCGATTTTGATCTTTACGCTGATGAGTCTGCTCAGTGCCTGCTATACGATATTAACCGATGCTTACTTGAAGCGCCTGTGCCTCAATTTGCGTCAGGGTCTTAGCAATCCCTTGGCCATTAGGTCAGTCCACATTTGGTGTTAATGTGCCATGAGTTCATTAATTAAGTAATTATACTTTTTAGCTGTGGTGATGCAATTGCCGTGTTGCGACCCTATATGCACGAGCACAGTGTCTCGCATGATGCGTACCTGGATATCTTCCGGTTTAGCTATGTGATCAGCATGACCCTGTGGATCTTGGCACTGCTGGTGATGGTGTTGCGCTGTGCCTTTGCCGTCGATTTCCAGCTGGTTGACATCGATGATATGTTCGATGGCCGTCGAGCTCACATGCAGCCTATTCAGCCAGTTTATACGGAGGTGCTGCAGACGAGCCCACAGCACAAGCAGCAGGCGAGACCCAAATCCGAGGAGGATTACCAAAGCGCCAAGTCGCGTCTTAGTGATTTAGCTGTGCCGCTGCTCGAGCTGAAGGCCCCGGAACAACAGCAAACGGAACAGCAACAGCAAATGCACTTAACAACTGTGGCTTAGGTCTTCACTGTGCCTCTACAGAAATCTCAGGTTTATTTTTATATATTTAGTGTAAAGCAGAAACTACATCAAAATATTATTTCGAACAAAATTCAATGATATTATTTAAGTGTAAGCTAAGCAGAAACTCGTGCCTCGTTTCAATTGAATGTGAACTTGATTTTTGATGATTATTTATTGATAGAGTAGTTTAATTGAAATTGTCTAACCGTAAAACCAGCTGGTGCAAATAAAATACAAAAATATATTCCATATACAAATAACAAAATTGTTTACAATAGTTTCATGGTAATGGTCTTGTTCTCCAAATAGTTGTCCAGGCCATCCTTGCCCAGTTCACGTCCAATGCCGGAGTGCTTGTAGCCACCGAATGGTGTCTGTGGTAGCACGGCATCATAGCAATTGATCCAGACGGAGCCGGCATCGACGTTGTTGGCAAACTTCATTGCCTTATTGATGTCATTGGTGATGACGCCAGCAGCCAGACCATATTGCACATTATTGGCACGATCGATAATCTCCTCCAATGAGCTGAACTTGAAGATGGACTGAACGGGTCCAAAGATCTAAAATGCAAATAATGTTGAGAGACTGCTCAATGGTTTGTTCCTCAATTTTAATTCGAACCTCCTCCTGGGCAATGCGCATGTCATCCTTTACATCCGAGAAGACAGTCGGTTCAATGAAATAGCCCACATCGCCAATACGCTTGCCACCCGCCTGCAGTTTGGCGCCCTGCTGCTTGCCACTCTCGATGTATCCGAGCACCTTGGTCATCATTTCCTCATCGATTTGCGGTCCCTGGAGCACCGACTGCTCGAAAGGATTGCCCACCTTGCGTGCCTTGGCCTTGGCGGCGGCCTTCTCCACAAACTTGTCGTAGATTTTCTCGTGCACATAGGTGCGACTGCCGGCACAGCAGCTCTGGCCGTGATTGGAGAACAGCGCCTCATGGGTGGTCTCCACCGCGTAGTCAACTACAAGGTGCAATTATTATATATATTTGCATTTATTTATATTTATTTGCTTTTCTACTTACTGTCCGCATCCTCGAACACCACCACGGGACTCTTGCCGCCCAGCTCCAGTGAGACGCGCTTTAGATTCGACTTGGCTGCCGCCTCCATGATAATGCGACCAATATCAACCGAGCCGGTGAACGCCACTTTTGCAATGTCTGGATGCTCACTGATCGCGGCGCCAGCGGTGGGTCCAAAGCCATTGATCACATTTATGACGCCCGCCGGGAAGCCGGCCTCCTTGGCCAGTGCAGCCATGTGCAGGGCAGTCAGAGGTGTTTGCTCGGCCGGCTTCATGACAATGGTGCAGCCAACAGCCAAAGCGGGACCCCATTTCCAGGACAACATCAACAGCGGATAGTTCCACGGTATTATCTGGCCCACAACGCCGACGGGTTCCTTGCGCGTCATGGCAATGAAACCGCCAGCGGGAATCGTGTCGCCAAAGAACTTGTCCGTCCAGCCGGCATAATACTTGAGCGTCATTATCGAGATGGTCACATCGAAGAGCGCCTCCGCGAACGGTTTGCCATTGTCCTGTGTCTCAATGCTAGCCAGAAAGTTCTTGTCGCGCTCCATCAGCTCGCATAGCCTGCACGAAAAAACAAACAATGGGTATCTTGAAGTCAGACGCAGAGTTCACCTACTTGTTCATCAGATTGGTGCGCTGTAGCGGACTCATCTGACGCCAGGCGGAGCCACGATGGAATGCCTTCTTGGCGGCGGCAACAGCTCGATCTACATCAGCCTGCACAGGTTACATTTGTTGAGAAATTAACTCACAGAAACAGAGTTCCATTTGCTTACCTTGCTGCCCTCGGCAACCTGTATGATCTCTTTGCCCGTCGCTGGATTGTGGGTGGCAAAGGTTTTGCCCGAAACAGCGTCAACGAATTCATTGTTGATAAAGAGCTGCACATATTGAACAGATTAAACAAACAATTATTAATATATTATCTATTTATAACCAAAAAGTGGCTGAAGGTTGTATTATTGCAATAACATTTTAGAATTTAATAGATAATTGTTGTAGAATATTTTGTAGTTGGTTTTTATGGTTAACATTAATAAATAAAAAAATAATAAATCTGGAACGCAAGCGCCTTGATAGAGTTTATTTGGGGGCAATTTATGACTTTTTTATTCCCCAAATAATCGTAGTTGAAGCAGATAAAAAATAAGATATGGTCAAATTATTTTAAGACGTATTTGCTTTTTCGTTACAAAGATCGTTATATAAACATGCACTTTGGCCTTTCCACAGTGCTTGTCAAACTGTCCCATTCAACACACTTTGCGATGGTTGGCAATTCCCGTAATCTGTGTAGTAGTCCCGCAGTAGCTGGCGTGTCAATAATTAATGCCATCTGTGTGCCTTGTGCCGGCTTTTTGCTAATTATGAGCCACATTGTGTACTTAATTGAACTAAAATTAACAAGTTGTCAGCTGCATTCGCTGCGAGACACGCAACAGTTTTGTTCAACGTAAACGAAACTCAAATTCGAGTCACGATTTGTACAGAAACGAGTTTGACGAATGCAACTCTTAAGTATTTAATCGTATTGTCAATGAAATACTGATCTCAAATACCAATACAAAAAACTATCTCTGCTTGAGGCAATTTTGTAAAGTGGCTTCGGTTCACTAAAAAATGATTAAATTACGAGTTTAGTTGATAAAGGACGTCAATAATTTGAATGCAATCTCATGTTTGCTGATCATTAAATTAGTGCAATCTCATGCTTGTTCAGCACCAAGTTGTTTACGTCCTTTTAAAATTATCTGCACTTTGCACAATCCAATTAGAGTCGAGCGTAACTAATCTAATATTGTGATTATGATATGCTCTTATCAGAACGATCTCGATCAGAGCAAAAATCTTGTAGGTAATTATAATGAAATTCCATAATTATTGCCTTGTTTTTTATTTTATTACATCTTAAATTTATTGTGCGTACCACAAATAAACTTAGATTGACTTAGTTACTTTATTAATGTACGCATTGAGGTTGTTGTCCCCGCTAATCTATGCGTATAATGAATCTTAATAACTGTCAGCTGATAAAACGACAGATTGGCCAACAATCTAGAAATGTATATAAATAAAATACTTTAAACATATTCCGTTCTCTTCACGCATATGGTATATGTATTCATATCAGTATATATGTATATCACACAAGTACACATACACATACGAATATTTCTTCAGATTTGCGACACAATAAAAACAAGTTTTTTAACTGGCAATCAACAAAATTTAATTTGTAAAAGTTGAGCAAATTGTTCTGTAAAGCTTATAACATATGCAACTTTAAGCTAACCATAAATAAGTGTATACAGATTGCAGCCAACTGTTGTCATATAATTGAAATTCAACACTCGCAAATATTCGTATTATTTATAACTGGAATTAGCATTACAGCACAACAGTTATTTATCAATTTATTTACTTACTTTTGTGTATTTTGGCTGCGCGTTGGAGTCTGCCATATTGAATATGTAATTCTGTACCTGCAATTGAGTGAAGTTTTAACTGAGAGCTGCACTGCTTAAGGAAGACTCCAACTGTTGGCGACTTTTCGAGCGTTCGCTGTCAACTAAAGTTGCAGTCGATTTCTCAATTCTTTTTATACTTTGGTGTGTTTTGATAATGTGTGTTCACTTTGCTTTGAACACTCGTTTATCACTGACTCGCTCTACTTTCTACCCTTCGTTATCTGTTTTGCCGGCCGGCAACGCAGACGAACAATATAACGAAATAGCACATACACATTTATAACCTGTAATATTTAAGGCTTGTGGGCTATGCATCGATTCAGATCAGTGTGCCTATATTTCAATTTTCGCCTGAATTTCACTTTAATTTGAATTTTATTATTGCAAACAAAAAAATTCAAATGTCATATGTTATCTGTTAAATTGACAATTTCAACAGTTGGTTTAATTCCTTATATAAGTAAGGCAATGCGAGGTGTCTTCTAAGTGGCATACAATTGTTTTTTATTTGTACTATTTCATCTGTTTTGTGCGCAGTTTCGCGTATTTATTTACGTATAAGACGTGTGCTTTTCTCAATATAATGGGTGCGTGTCTTCGCTAAGAGCATTCTGAGCTTTCTTAAAAGAGGGCTGTCATACAATTCCAATGAGATTTGAACAAAGTTAGAAAGCAGTAACAAGTTGGAATATTTTCATAGTCTTGTTGTTTTTACTAGCGTATTGTCGGTCCTGTCATAATTTGCGGTTGGAAAACTCTCATAGTCGTAGGTTCGCTGCACCAGACCATGATCCAGAAATTTCAGTTTGCTAAACGATTGCGCAATTAGATTACTGCAAAATGCACGAAAATGCAATTAGAAAATAGCAGTAAAATATGGTAAAGAAATACCTGTAATATTTGTAGTCGTATTGTAAGTAACTGGAAAAGGGTTGCAAATTGAGGCCATCCGGGCAAATGGGATTTCCGTGCAGGCTTAGATATTGTAGATTGGGAAAGTGCCGTCTGATAAGCATTATCGTTGTTCTCAGATCCCTGAACTGCAAATTGAATTGAAATACTTTCAATAGCCGATAACAGAGCACGGGGCGCTTTCAATTCAATGAACCTCATTTTTGTTCAACATGAGCACCTCCAGCTGAGGCAGCGGCGTTTTCACTGTGCGCAACTGTGACTCGTGCAAACGGTTGCTGTCCAACACTAGATAGCGCAGCTGCTCGAACTCCGCCAGCCAGGACAGATCCTTGAGGCAGTTGTGACTCAAATCCAAATGCTCAGCGCTATCTGCATAGCGTTGCACAATTTGTGTGGGCATCGTACGCAAATTCTGTTGCACCAATATCAGCTGCAAAAAATAATTTTTCTTGTTTTTAACGAGATTAGCTTCTGCTTCAGGTATTCATTTCTCACCTTGTCGCTGTAGCCGTCGTCATCAAATAATTCTTCCATTTTCATTTCCACTTTCTACGCTTTAGTTTGATCAGTTGATCTTCTCGAGTTGAATTGCAGTTGATAACTGTTCGCATTTGTGGTTTGGTTTCACAATCTACGTTTAATTTTGTTATTTATTTTTATTTTTTTCTTAGCTTTCGTTTTTGCTCTGTTTGGCTTCTTCTTGTTTGTTCGCTGGCGCTTCAGGCGAAGCTTTTTGCGCTGAACTTGCTCTAGTGATAGACGAGCTAACAGCTGAGTTGCGATATCTTGCTAGGCACGACTTGTAGATGGCGCCAGTGCTCGACCTGGATAATTACCTCGCTTACACGCAGCAAGCATTAACTTTGAATAGGCTTTGAATGCACAAATAATGTTATCAATATAATAAACATTAATATAATAATAATTAAACGTCTGCTTAGTGCTAAGAATAAAAAAGAAAGAAATAATTATTTGCTAATAAATTAATAATAAAATCAAATTATATATCTTCTTATTTATTTTTTAATCATTTTATTTTATTATGCTTATTTAAGGCTCTACTTCTTGAAACTAATAAAGTTGTATGCAACTCTCAGCATGCAGTTGAACCGAAAAATTCATATTTATCTTTTAATTTGTTTACAAGAATTAGTTTTGCAGACAGGAAAACTGCTTTCTCAGCTTTAACAGGAAAATTAGCTAATATAACTTTTCATCTAATTTTTCATTAAAAGTTATCAAGCCAAACGTACATATTTAATATGCAGACGAGCTCTGCACTCCTGTAATCGATTCGCATATTTTAATTAAATCCAATTATTCCAACTGTAAACATCTAAAATTCATTACGTATACAGCATGTGCGCTTAACTTTGATTAGCATAAAATGGATTTAAATACCACACGATTTATGAACTGACTGAGTTGACTGTCAACACTTGTGGATTCTGTTTAACTGTAGTCAGTGACAAAGGACGTACGCAGATTTTCACAAAAATATAAATGGAGATGGTTTAAGAACTTTTCTTGTCGTGCCTCAGAGAGGCTGTTACTGGTGGTGCTGGTGGTTGCTGCACGCCAAAGTGGCAGAGTGCCAGCAAATACATACATATGTATTTTTTATAATTGCCAGTTAGGCGAAGAAACGCGCCGTGGTAAATACTGAAATGACAGTCGACAAGAAACAGGGCTGCTGACAAGCAAATTTGAGTGTGTGTGTGTGTGTGTGTGTGTGTGTGAGTGTGTATGTGTGAGTGTGTGTGTGTGAGTGTGTGTGTGTGTGTATGTGTGTGTGTTGTGGGGTCAGCACACATTAAAACGGCAATTGCAAAGGCGGCGGCGAACAAATGTGATTGACTGCAAATGGCTAACAAAATGCTGACTGTCGAACGGAGTGTGCTTGTGTGTGTGTATAAGTAATAGGGGGGCAGGAGGGGATGGCGGGTGGTTGGGTGGGGGCGGTTTAACTTGTAGAGCCAAACAATAGCAGATGACAGCGTAAATAAACAAAGTGTGAGATACAAATTGCGGGCAGCAGTATTTAACTAGGCATTTTATTCAATGAAACATGACAAAACACACACACACACACAAAGATAAACTGAGAGTATTACACATATGCACAGCAGCAATGGCACTGGCATTGGGCATCCGTGAGATACACAGATACATATCTAATCGATTTGCAAGTGTGTGGAAGCTTATTGAACGCTGGCTGCCTTTGTCATAGCAGCTGTCTGGGTCAAACGACAAAGTCAGTGGTAAGGCTTTTGGGGCTATATGTTGTTTTTGTTGTTGCTATTGTTATTGTTGTTGCTGCTGTTGCCGACTTTTGTTGCATATGTATTTTGATTTGCTTAGTGTGACTTTTGTGGTTTTCATTTGATGTTGGATAGCCAGAAATAAAGCACATTTGGTGCGTGTTTGTTGATATTTATTTATTTTTACGCAGCACTTACTGCGCTTGTACACCAATTGTCCATCATTATTGTGCGTTTTACTTGGCATTAGACTTAATTCAATGTCAATGTTTTCTCTTTCCTAATTGCTGTTGTTTACAGTTTGCGTTTGATTCCCCTTTCCCTTTGAGCTATTTATTATATTCACTTGGAAGAAGCCTTCTGAGCTTTCACCTTTCAAATGGCAATTTTTGGCCCAATTCTGCGTCACTGTGGGCCATTAAAGTTTATTGATCTGCTTTGTAATTACATTACGAGTAATGTAATTCTGACTATAATTCCATTTGTTAGAAATTTGCCAGAGTGTCATTAAAATAATTAAAAAAATAAATGGCAAACATAGTTGGAATTTTGTATTTAACTTGTTAATTGCTTAGTGTGTAAAGTTGTAATTTGTATAATTGTAAAATGCAAATATTTGATGTGTGTTTTTGTATTTTGACGCCAACTTTAAATCTAAATAAATAAAACAAAACAACGATTTATTTTTTATTTACTTATAGGCCTTTTGTTTTAATGCTTGCAATCATATTGATTCCTCAATTTTTATGTTTTTAGTATTTCGCTGAGTGTATGCATACAATTATCACCTACTGTATCGCCTGTTAACTACCTCAAATAAAAAAAAAAAAAATTCCATTAGAGGTACGGGTTTGAGTTTATGGGGTGGCCTATTAAAGCTCATTATTCACTGTAATTGAAAAGCCATGGATACCCGAAATGACATCAGCAATGGCCAAGCAGAAAACTTGGCCGCACACCCACCATCAACACCAACACTAGCAGCGCCACCGAAACCACCAACACCACCAACGCCACATTAAAAAAGAGAAAAAGAAGCGCGCGTGCAACTCCAATTTAAATTACATCCTACGAGTCGTATGCGTTATATAAGACGCTATAGCGATAGCTGCTTTATAATTGTGCTCGCTTACCGGCAAATTGGGTGACCTTGCGCATCGTTTGCCTTTTGGTCAGCCCAATCAGCCACCCGCCCACTGGGCCCAATCGCCTTGACGCGAAAACACGCAAAGTATTTAAAATAGAAACACACAAAACAAAAACAAAAACAAAAAAAAAACCATCAAATACCAATTGCCTGGCGATGAACGTTAATTAACAAGATAATCGATGGAGACGTTGCACACTGATACCAAATACGGGAAAAACAACAATAATAAAAATATATATACTATATTATAATGATATATTTACTAAACTATTATATATATTTCAAAGTAGTTCACACAGATCTTTAATTATCAACTAAACACTGTATCAGCTTTGTGGGCCTGAAACGAGAGCTTATCAACCACAGACAAATACTCAATTATATTTAAACTGTCTGTGCATAGCTGCACCAGCAGCACCAGCATCAGCATCAGCAGCAGCAGCAGCAGATACCTGTTCATTATTGTCATCATCAACTGGCTAAGCCATTAAGTAATTTGCTTCAACAGTTTGTCAACAAAAATATTGTTTGGCTTTTCTCAAGTTGCCGTCGCGGCTTAGTGTTCCTTCAGTTGCTGTGAGTGGCGGGGGCGGGTGCATGACACTCATTTACAAATTGTCATAATTTGTGTCGATGTAGGTTGAAGTCATTAAATGTGTAGCACACACTTTGCCATGATTTGCATTATTTTTATTTATTTCAATGCTGTTGGAAAAAGTCGAAATACGGCTTAAAATAAACATAATTCAATCATTTTTCATTTCTGGGAATTTATAAATATGACGAGTACTTTTTAGCAAATTAAAGTGAAGTTTGATAAGTAAATAGTTGCCAAGTTGGATCTCACGCCTTGAACTGAGTCCTTGATAAAGCCTCTCTTAATTCTATTAGCCGAGAGTAGCTTAAGATTCACAGAGATCTGATCTGATTGCGTTCAACGATATGCTGCTGCTGCTGCTGCTGCTGCTGGAAGGCATTGACCAACTAATCGACTTTTAGGGTCGTCTCTCAATGACAGGGCCTCCAAAGCAAAGCAGTATCCAAAGTCAGCTCCCTCACAAACAGCAAATGCGCTATTGTGGCAATGTCAAAACGAAACGAATTCAATGCGAGTTGGCACTTGAGTGCAACAAGTGGCAACAACGATGCCCTCAAGTGCATTCTTCAGAGCGCCCTCTTCGTCTATTTTAAGCCAATGCGATCGTGAAAATACCCAAACGATCGTCGATCTTCTTCGATCGATCGAAGGGCAAACGCAAATGCCAATAAGTAGTGCTAAGTACAACCAAATGCGTTGTGGCACACACACAAACACACACACACACACACACACACACACACAAGCCGACACAGTGCGTTGGCTGCCACTTGTTGTCTACTGCACAGATGACCTGATTTACCTTCCTTCCCTACCTCTTCCCAAAAATGAGATGTCGCAATCGACGCCTTGTCTGCAGCTGCAGCTCTTGTTACTGTTGCCGTCTACCTTTGGGGTCGATCTTTCATCGCCCTCAGCCCGTTGCGGACTCTTGGCTACCTCAGTGTGTCCAAGTGCACCAATTTCAATGATTCGCGCACATGTCGATGACGTAAAGCAGCCACAGACCTGTTGCCTGCTTAAATGTATATATCTATATATGTATATATAAATATGTACTTTTTTTTTGGGGACCACTCTGCACAATTTCTCTCGCAATCGAAAGACGACCGGCAATTACGATTAATAAATTGTGGCCAGCGTGGATGACAAGTGTTTAAATTCGTTTATTTTGGCTGCCTCAACTCTCGAATCTAAGTATTTCGTGTTGCGTTTGTTTTGGTAGCTTTATTTTTGTTTTTTGTCTGTTACTTATTATTTGCCTGCAATTATAAAACTGTTGTTGATTTTATTTTGATTGTTTCGTAATTGTAAAGCAGCCAGCAGCCAGCAACAGCAGCCAGCAACAGCAGCAGTTGTTGGTGTTGAAAGTGAGTGTTGCCAAGTTGACAGTTTTGACAATCAGCTGGGCGTACTTGGCGTATGCTCAACGACCTTGTCTAACAAGCAATCTTCTGCCAAACACTTGTCTTCGATTAAGCATTGCCAAAACTTTTGCCTAGTACAAATATTTGATTATCGGTTCAACTGAATCGATGCAAGCAGTCAATGCTGGCCCAACATGAATGAACTTATTCAACGGGGGGAACTCTGACTCGGCACGTGGGCCAGGGATGGGGGCTGGCAACAGTGCTGTATTTGTAATCGTGGGTCACTTTCGTTTTTAAGACAACATTTTCGAGTGCGCTCCAATTGTGAAAATAACACTTGGCACACTCATGCGAAGGTTGATGTGTACGTATCCGTAAGATACATCTGCTACACACAGAAAATAATATTGGCTTCGAATTTGGCACATTTACTTATTATAGTTGTAAGAATATAATCCTATAAACACTGATAGCAATAATATAGTATTTCAATAAATTTATACTTGTTTCTTTATGTACAGAGGGTCACAACTATAAATTGAATCAAATCCAGATCCCAATCTATAATGAGATACAATTAAATTATATAATTTAATAGCTTTGCTTGACTGACCTAAGTGACTTATTTACAAGACTAAAATGTATGTTATTCGAACTTGGAAATCTTCGTTTGATACGCTTTTTCCCTGAGCTAAATTAAAATTGTTTTATATAATAGAATTAAAGAAGTGCAAAACGAATTTACGAAGAGAAAATAAAAACAATTTATATATATTTTAAGTTCGTTAAAAATGTGAGCTTATAAATGAAAATGAAAAAATGTTGTCTAAAAATTGTTGTACTCTTTTTATTTAAATTAAATAAGTTTCGAAACATTGCAACCAATTGGATCTATTGTGCCTCTTCCTCGTCTTGTATCAATATTTACAAGTGCCTTTGTAGTTTGGCAGCTCGTCCGTTTTCTCAGTGTATGTGGTTTTACCACCGTTTAGGCATCTCGAGGCGACCTGACGGCTACGCAGGTTGAGGTTGAGGTGGCTTTCTTGGTGTCGTTGCCACGTCGGGCTGGCCACCCTGGCCACACTCGATTGACCCAACACCGAGTCAACAGCACTCGATTAGCGGCAGATAAATGTATTTCCATTTATTGTTGTGAATTCGATGCCATTTAGTTTTCAACTTGCTCCAATTGTTCAGCTGTTTGGCGACATCAAAAGACACGCGTCTCTCATTTTTCATTTTTTCTTAAGCTCAAGCTTGGCTCCTGCTATGCTCCAAAAAAACTCTTTTTTGTTTGTTGTTATCTTTGCTCAGAGCGAGCGTAATTATAGTATGTGTGTGTGTGTGTGTGTGTGTGTGTGTGCCTCTTTTGATGTTTAATTAAATTCATTTTGGCTGAGGCCTTTTGTAATGAGATTTTTGACTGCGTCGCTGCTGCGCTCAGCGTGTTGCTGGCTATCGCTTGTTTGGTTGGCTGTTTCTTCGTCTGCTTCGACTGCGGCTGCTTCTCTCCCAATCGAATCATATAAATGCCCGACGCCAAGTTCAGTGGGGCATCAGTCGAGACTTGCGCTTTCCAATCGAACCACAACAAACAAACAGTGTGAGCAAGTCGACCAACCAACAAACCAACCAACCAACCAACCAGTCGAACAGCCAACAAGGATTACGTGATCTAACCTAAGCAATAAAAACCAATCTAAATTAAAGAAAAGCAAGAAAAAAAAGCAAAGAGATCCAAAGACTAAAGTGTTTGCCATGCGTGTGTTATCGGTCTTTGTTGGTGGCCTCATCGCCCTGCTGGGCTCTGTCCAGGCACTTCCTGAGCCTCCCTCGCCCTACTATGGATTACCCCAGCAGCAGAGCCAGCGCGCGCTGCCTTTAAATGGTGAGTATTATTTATTTAATGCAGACTCTGCACACTCCACAAATTCGAAAATCGTTCAAAGGAATTTTCAATTTTCAAATAAAATGATCAATCAAATGGTTAAAAATCAAAATGTAATCTAAAATATCACAGTTGCAACATTTGTTGCAAGTTTTGCGGGAAACCCAGAAGCCCAAATATGTGAATAAAGCATTCTGTTCTATCTCTCAACCCTTTTCCTCGATCTTTCTCTTTGACAGCTCATTCTGCGGCGTCACACATCTATCAGTCGCTGCCACAGGAACAATCGTTTGCCAACTTTGCCGCGCCACAAGCTGCACCACAAATGAACTATCTGCCTCCAGTGCAGCAGCAACAGCAGCAGCCACAACAGGATGAGCAACTGGCACCGGCTGTGGACTCGTTGAGCTCCTATGATGACTCCTACAACATGGCGCATCGTTTGTCCGGCGTTCAGCATGCCAGTGGCTATAATAATGCTCCACAGGAGACGCGGGTGCATAAGCACATCTATGTGCATGTGCCGCCCAAGGACTTTGAGGAGGAGGATGCTGTGCAGCCGCGTGTGCATCATGAGCTGGGACCTAAGCAGAAGCACTACAAGATTGTGTTCATTAAGGCACCATCGGCTCCGGCGCTGCGTGCACCAATTGTGCCACCGCCACCACAGAACGAGGAGAAGACTCTGATCTATGTGCTGCACAAGAAGCCCGATCAGGATCAGGACATTGTCATTCCGTCGCCGCCACCCACCAAGCCCTCCAAACCCGAGGTCTACTTCATCAAGTACAAGACCAAGAAGGAGGAGGTGCCTGTCTATGGACCTCCACCAGCCGATATGGATCCCCGCCAGGCCATCGCCGACAACTTTGCGCCCTTGGCTGATGTGGTTGATGTTGTGCCCACCACCATTGCACCCGAGCCGGAACAGCCTGCTGCTGTGCCCTCCTCCATCTACGGTCTGCCCACAGCAGCCGCCTACACCGGCGAGGAAGTCCAGACAACGCTAACCGCTCCCGCCCATCAATATTTGCCCCCGGCAACGGCACCCGCTTCCCTCGGCATCGAGGAACCCTCCATGGCGCCCATCATCGTCGAGGAGCCCGAGCAGCGTCTGTCCATCGATGCGCCCGCTCCCACATCTGCCCATGTGCCTGCCAGCAACTATGGTCCTCCCAGCCGCTACTTCCTCAAGAAGGTCAAGTAATCATTGGCAGTAGGAAAATCTACTCCTACTACTTAGTCTAAATGGAGTGCCACATAAGACACGCCCACATGCAGCACACACTCACTTACACTCCCACACACACACACACGTAAACCCTTTCACAACCCTCCCCCCCCACCCGACCCCTTCCCTTCTGTTGTTGCTTTTCATAAAATTGTTAAATTGTTTGTTAAAATGTTGTAGACAATAAAATTCGAATTTACTAAAGACACAAGTGCAGTTTTTATTTTAATTTGTTTTTTTTTGTTTTTTTTGCTAATTTTGCAAAGCGTGTTTGTCTTTAACTTTTCATTAACACGTTAACGACAATTGACCCTGCCGCTATTTAAAAACTTGACCTTCAGGCTGTGAAGCCACATCGTTTACAGCTCGTGTAATTGGTTACGATTTGTTAATTTTGAAACAGCTTCACGCATCGAGATCTGCAGATTGTAATGTAATGTTTGTGCTTTGTGATTTAAATGTTTAATTGCCACTTCCTCTTTTTCGAACAATTTACTTTCGAACACTTGCTTCAGCTTTTTTTATAGAGTTTTATTTATTTATTTATTTTTGTTCAATTATTTCTGTGATTTAACTCTGGACTATTTTTAAAATGGGAAAACCATTTGGCACCAATATTTATTTGCATTGCGCCAAATTCGTTTTAAATTATTTGTTCGACAGTATATTCATTTATCATTGCCGTTTAATAAACAAACATAAATCTATTTATATTGACGAGTAAACTATATTCGGGGTGTGCTTAAAAAGCATACAAAAATATTAAGAATTCACGCAATTCTTCAAAATTTTGTTTTTTGTTTTTTTGTTCTTGTTTGGAAAACACTACTAAGCACAAATTAACTAATTATTGTCTTAATTCAAATGTATACAAAATTAGAAATGTATTTTTAATGACATTTGATTGTAGCACATCTCAAAGCATTCGAAAGCACAATTATTCATGCCAATATTTAAACACAACTCGTGAATTGGCTTGGCAACATTCTAACTCAAGGCGCCACATGTTGCTGTGCAACATTGGTTATTGGCGCCAAAATTCGAGCAACTGCGCAGCGTGTGTGTTGCCAACATGCGGCCGAAGGCTGCTTTCCGAACTCGTCTTCGACGACTTCGTGCAGCGCCACATTTTGCCATTTAGAACTTCGTTGACGGCTGATCTCCAGTCACAGTCAGTGGGACCGCTTCCGCTGCCGCCAGTCACGGGTTTTCCACTCAGTTCGTATTTTGGTTTCGTGTGCTTCGCAACGGCGCGTCTGCCACTGGCTCTGCCCCAAGTTGCAAGTAGCAGCATAGCCGTCAATTTAGCGCGTTTTTCAACGTTTAGCGTTCGGCGTATTGTTGTTCAGAGTCGCACAGAAGCGCAATTCCCTCGATTTGTTTATTTTGATTGGCGAATTGGCGATTTGGCGATTTGAATGGGCACAGCACGCGAACAATGCGAACAATGCGAACAATAAACGCCGCAATTAATTAACTGTTTATCAAGACGCTGCAATTACCAAAGGTGCGAGCGGCCGACGCGTCGTATGCGTGTTCTGCGTTTATATATACATATATATATATACGTGTGTGTGTTTCTCTCTCTCTATATATATATATATATATATGTATGTGTTTGTGTGTGTGTGTGTGCAACAATTTATTGTGTTCTCGTTTGTTCAATAAATGAGTGCAAATGCAAGTGTGAAATTGTGCACGAAGTATTTACTTGCATACTTACTTATCTGAATGTCATCGTCGGGTCAGTTGGCTGTTTGCTTTAGGCAAACATTGTTTAGCACTGGCATTGGCATTGACATTGTCGTTAAATGCTAATTTCGTCACTTGGGACTCCGGCAGCCTGACTCAGTGGTGTCCAGCAGGGGTAAGTAAAAGCACACAAACACACACACACCTCAAACACCTTTTCGAAAACACTATTCGAGTGCTAACAAACTCAACCTCCTGATGCGATATTTTCTCGGTTGTTCTCATTGAGTGTTTCCCTAGGCTGTTGGCGCTACATAAATGTCATTAATTGAGTTTGATAAGGGGCACTTAACTACTAAGGTGGCACTTTTGGTAACTTGTACTCGACGATTGCTCTGTTGGCCTTTCGCAATACGTCCGCAAAACACGTCACATTTCAATGAAAATTCGCGAACTCTGTTGCCATCACGCATTGCGAAAGACAATGAATTTAAATTTCCGTCGGGGGTTGTGCGTGAGATTTGAGCAGACAGCTGTCAGTTAACTTTTCCTTTTGCTGTCAGCAGTTAACACGTGCCAGTCTCCCATTTTAATGTTTCGATTAGTAAATTACGACGGACCCTAGGGAGAACTTAAACGAACAGACATTTATGTTCGACCCATGTCACTGAACCACTTATTACAAAAATTAATTGTCAAAACTCATTTCTCGCATGTCATTTTGTATCGAAAATAATTTGTGGTTTTTTATTTGGTGTCTAATTTGTCTATCACTAAACTATATCACTCTTTCGAGTGCCATGAGAAAAAATATCGAATAAATAATTAGATTTTCTGTTGACAAACGTAAATGCGTCAGAAGCGAGCAGCATTGAAATCTAAGCTAGCAGAAAAACTGTTTTCATCGGCTTTGTATATTTAGCAGCTTGGATATGCAAATACTGTCAATTGTTTAAAAAGGGTTCAATTCAATCCAACTACAATTGTGCTGTCCAAGCTAGCAAAATTCATTTTTCACAATTCCCTGAAATAAGCATTTGTTGATTGCTCTCCATTGTAGCAAGTAAAGTGCGTTTGATGAGCTCGCTTAGCATCCCGGATATAGGTTTCAATCAGCAACGTGCAATTTATATTAAGTTTTTCACATGAATTTTGAACTTTTGGGAAGTGAGATAAAGTAAATGTGGATGGAAATATTACACATACGCAACGTGGCGTTGCAAATTTTGATATTATTTTGTATGTTGATCCTACTCAAGCTTTGGGAATTGAATAAAATGAGCCTTTTTATTGCTCTTATCCTCCATGTATGCCTCGGTGAGCATTCGGTGACAGCTGGCAGAAAAGTGAACAGTTAGCTAATTATAAATTATGAGTTGAGGTTGGGGCGACACATGAAAGTTCGCCGCTCTCGCTGCTTTGGCAATTTTATTTTGTTTTTTTGTTTTGTTGTTTTTTTTTTTTTGTGTTGTGGTTTTGTTTGAGTCCGCTCACATATGCTAGTTTTGTCGTTGTTGTTGTTGTTTGGTGCTGCAGGTGAGCGTATATATTTTATCAGCAATTACCCTTTGATTCCAGTCGGCTTAACGGCCAGCAATAGTTTCTGCTGAACTGGCGCCTAACGACAGTCAATGCCCCTTTTGGCTTTAGGGCTTTAAGCGTTCGACGCTCGGTTTAAGTGGCCTTTGTGCTTTTTTTCTTTTGTTTTGTTTGCCAGGGCTATTTGGTAGCACGACACTTTGCTGGTTTATGTATCGTTTTAATGTCAACGCGTGTCATGAGGGCGTTCATCTGTTTGTCTCCGATTTTACTGCTTGTCGCATGTTTTTTTGATGCCACGCCTGTAAATAAATGGATCCCACATGCTGTCGCATATTTTACATATACCATATAAACTGTTGCTTCAATTTATTTAGAGCTCGCTCGTTACTTAAATCAATAAAATACTCCATCAATGTTATAGCGTTTCCTGCAATTCACTTCACATCTTTGGGCATCTTTATCATTATTAATAATATTTCACCAGCAATATAAAAAGAAAATAAAATTGATGTAAAGTTTCCGCTTTCGGTGTATTAATCATTCAAGTGGAAGATCGTGACAATTGATTTGAATAGGTTGAACGGAAACTGAATATTTCACAACGAAAATCTAATTTCAAATTCTTGAATTGAATTTCATTTAGTTGACTGAACATTTACATTAAATAAACATTCATATGCAATAATGGCTTTTAATGATTAAATAATTAATGAATTAACGTAATTGTTGCATTAAGTTTGTTATGTTTATTTAACAGCATTTACCATTAAGTAAGCTGCTTTGCTCGTCAAAATGAACCAGATAATTAATTGCCTTTCGTGCAGTTTACATAAAAATTTATGTATTCAATTAATTATCATATTTTCAGCAAGAATAGTTAAGTCTTTAAAGTTTGGCGCACAGCTCGTTGAAATTTCAGCCGTTGAATTTTTGTGTTTTATAGCACTTACACACAAATCAGTAAAACCATAAACCATGGTAAAAGCATAGAAAACCTGATAAATTTGCTGAGCTTATTAGAAATTGTTTGGTTGTCGTCTCTATTTTTTGTCGCTTCTACCCCATTTTAGGATTATTTTTTCAAAGCACTTAACTCAATGTAAAAACACGTTTGAAAACTGACAGATACCTAGAGAGACAGCAACAAATTGAATTCCCTACATGAGTGAAAAGAACTTTCAAATAGTTGATATACTTTCATATACTGAGGAGACAGAGATTGAGAGAGATTGAGGGAAAAAGCCAGCTATTTTCTACGTAGTTTGTGTGACTATTTTGAGCAGCTTTTAAAATTGCACCAAAAATAATATGCAAGATGCAAGTGGCTTGCCATCCTGATGGATTTAGATGCCAAAGGAGACGATAATAGAGCCAAAAATTAAACAAGTTTTAAGCGGCTATATTAAAAATTCCTTGACAAAGTTTACTCTGTGCTCTGCTGCATAATTCAAGTTTGTTTAGTTTTGCCTGGCAGTCCCAAAGTTTCGTCTTATTTTGTGATTCTTATCTCTATCTGCGTTGCTTTTGATGCCAAACAAACTTATTCTTCCTGTCTACTATTAGCATTTTTCTTGGCCAGCATTTGAGGCAAAACTCACTTTAATATTTCTTAAATGTGGTTTGGAAAACAAATTCTGCGCATTTTGTAGTCTTGGGCAGGCAACTCGGATTATGCGAAATAGGCATAAGTACATCTTTTCGGTATTGTATTGTTTCACATTTGGGTTGGGCGCTTTAATCTGACTTGAGCTGAGCTTGCTTGCAAAACGAATAAAAGGATTACAGTTACATTAAAAAATCTTTGAATATATCTTTGGCCCCACTTATTATTTAATTTGTTTATTTTCCTTTGTGAAATGCCGTTTTCACAAAGACTTCTGTCTTGTCTTGTCTTGCCTCTTATATATACCAATTATTCCTTTCGGGCATTTTGCATCATTCCAATATTTACATCCTTGTGTTGTGGGGCACTGAGGCATGCAACACATAACCCTGATCTGCACACTTGACTGGCGTTGCTGGCCAGTTGCTTTCTATAGAATAAAGTATAATCATATATTTATTTCTGTAAATTCGATATTTTATGGGATTTGTACGCACCTTGAAGAGCATCTTTTTGCTTCGCAGCACCTTTTGAAAAGCATAAGTAGTTGGTCTCTCACTGCCTTTAGTTTCCATTGAGATTCAGCCAAGCTGAAGACATGAGTAGGCGAAATTCACAAGTGCCGGCTTTATTGGTGAGTCGTGAGAGACATCAGCTGTATAGCATTTTTGTCCAAAGGATTGCTCAAGCATAATAATATAAATCTAGAGCCTGATTACCTTTACCTAAGCATCACTTACCAGAACAATTCATTTAAAAGGGCAGCAAGCAATTCCATTTGCTGCAAATGTTCTCCCTACAAAGGCTAACCATTGCCATTTGGCCATATCCCACTGCCAGGTCAATGGGGACCAAAGAACAAAAGCACATTTGACACATTTGTGTGACTTGTGCCACCAATGACCAGACTGTGGCAGACTATTTCGACCCTCATTAGCTTCAGGGGCACTCAAACAGTCGCATCCGTTGGCCAAAAAGAAAACCAAGAAACAACAAAAACCAAAAGTTCTCGAAATAGTAAGATGACTTCGTTTTAAAAATCATTACCAACAGCATTCGAATTTATTACGTCCGTTTAGTTGCCTGACTTTTGCGACAAAAGCCAAAAAAGGACAATTTATGGTTTCAGTCAGCAAGAGGTCAAAAGCCGCAAGTGTTTCTCAAGGGAAGCTGGTGCACCACGGTCTGAAGCTAACGAATCACATAGATTGTTGCTCAACTATGCTATAAGTGAATACCGGAGGCGGTTAAACAAAGTTCTCACTGGTTGCAAGTTAATTTCCCCATTCCCTGTGTATATGGGGTTAATAATGCTGTACGGTAGTTTTTATGTTTTATATTCAACATTCCTGCTCGTGTTTTGATTTATTTTTATTAATATTACTCGTTTTTGTATCATCCTATTTAGTTGAATATATGGAATTTGGTGGAATTTATTTGATGTTCAACTTATTGGCCACAAAATAATTTCTAAAGATCAAAGTGAAAATTCAATACATATGTTTATCACAGAATCAGACTAATTTTGAGAAGCTTTAAGTTGAAAGAATAGCAAATCAATGACGGGTAGTAAGTACCCTTAAATATGTTATTAATTAAGGCATTGATTAAAAGTTGTATTGCAAAATGGATTTTATTTATCAACATAATTAACTTTAGACACTTTCATGAAGTGTCACTTCAAGTGGAGCTTCAAGTGTTTACAACAACTTGGCTGGCAATGTTAAAAATAAAAAATTGCTTTCCACATATCACCTAAACCTTGGCAACATGAAAGCTGTTCTTATTTTTGGACTCGCCATCATCCGTCGCCCTAAGACAGATGCTTACGCCTTTTACTGAATACCGAAGCCGAACAGAATCAAATGAGTGGCACCTTCAAGTGGATGGATAGCCATAAAGTAGATGTTGAGCAGTTGCGAAGCACAGTGATTGGTAATCGTTTGTTTTTTTATGATCCTGTGGAGTTTTCACTTTACACAACGTCCACTCGCACTATTAAACAGGGAATAAAGCGAACGCATTCATCCGTATTTACTTCGAACTTCAGCAGCAATCATAAAACGTGATTTGTTATTCAAGGATGAGCAATGAAATATACTTCCGAGATGAACCTCTTCCCATGGTCGATTTGTCAAATATTATGACGACACCGTCACCATAAATAACATTCAAGCCAATGCTCCGATGCTCTGGCAGTGCAGCCAAAATGGTAAAATGTACTAAAACCTACACTTACAGTATTTTCTATTTGTCTGTGAAAATCGGTCCAATTCCGCTATATTTAATAAACAACTGTATAAATGCGTTGCATTATATATCCATACAGATGCAAAAATAAACCAATCCTACGTTTAGTTTCAGTAAGAACGTTTCAAAGTATTTTCGAATTAAAGATTCACAAAAGGGACTTTAAATTATTATAGACAGGCAGTCATAGACTAAAAACTTTTTTATATTTTTTACAATGCTCAACACTCCTATTTGTCATCCTACTGAAAAAACATAATGTTATGTTTCCTTATCAGAGAGGAGAGATTCTTAGGTGCTTGTTGACAGCTACAAGTGATTGACAAGCCACTTGTCAGAAATAAAAAAAAAAATTGAGATACAGAAATGAAGGTACTTCTTGTGCTTTGATAAATGAACACTGGCAACAATGAGGAGGTATGAGTCAGTTGGGCTTACAGGCTTAAGCCTGCCGTAAGCACATCCGTTTAAAGCACTCGTATCTCCGGGCAATGTGAATAATGAACTCTTAAGCGTCGAACCGGTTGTTCATGGGGTGAATTTTCGCCTGATCCTGTGCGTTGCACAGAGCGCCTTTGGGTTATTGGGCTGGTTGACCTTTTCAGCGAAAGCAAGAAAAGCTCAGCGGTGCCGTTAGGCATGTTAATATTGTGGCATGCATTATTGATGGTCTGGCGCCAGGGAAAGCTGGTGTGATAAAGGTGTGTCGTTGGGGCCAATGGAGACAACGACCCCAGCTCGGCTGTGCTAAGTGAAATAGTAAAAGAAAGAAATATGCAAATAACTCAAATTTCAGGTAATTCATACAATTTCACTCTTGCCTGAATTTCTTTTGCTTCAAATGAATTTTTTATCAAGACGACCAAAGTCATCAGGTCCGTTTCGGTTCATAACCTTTTGGCTTTCGGCTATTAAATCTGAAAACATTTTTAGTGGTTCCTCTTTTTTAAGACTTTGCAATGCCGTAAGGGTTCTGATATTTTTCTTATTTGTTTCAACAATTTACATTTATTTTCCCTATAAACCTTTTATTTATTATTAGCTATGGGAATAAAACAAATGATATTTTGTTAGCTATTTTTATTGTGTTATTTGCTATGTCAATTGGGACAATTTGTTTACTTTTCAATGAGTGGGGACATGTAACTTTTAAACAGCTTGAATAAATATTAGCATTTTGTTATCATCAAATGATAAGAATACCAAACATTGCAAGTATTTGTTAATTGTCTTAAGAAGTATAAAAGCAGCTCCAAAGTCAAAGTGAACGCAATTGTAACTCTCTAAACCTGGGAAAATGTCGAGGCGACTAGTTTGGATAAACTACCATGGTGAGTAGGGACTTGTGGAATTTTAGCAAGAAGACTTCTAATAATATTCTCCATTGGTTAGTCCTTTGTTTATTGCTCATCACATCCCTATCAATTCTTAGTCAAGCAAACGGTGAAAGGGGCGACTGTGGTAGTGGGGGTGGAGTTGATATTTACTCTGATGACTGTGGTATTTATTTCCAATGTCTGAATGGAGTTCGTATAAAACAGAAGTGCTCAGATGAAAGCTGTGTCGATGTGAATTTCGAATGTATCTCAGCGAATAAAATATGTTTGGAAGGTGAGCTTCTAGAGGATCCAAACAACTGCGACGGCTACGTGGAATGCATTAATGGAAAACTGATAACATTGAAATGTCCTGATGGGAGCTATTTCAATCCAGCGTTGAAAAGCTGTGTAATTGACGAGAATGGGATCTGCGATGTAACAACTGGAAAATGTTTGGAAGGTGAGCTTCAAGAGGATCCAAACAACTGCGACGGCTACGTGGAATGCATTAATGGAAAACTGATAGCATTGAAATGTCCTGATGGGAGCTATTTCAATCCTACGTTGAAAAGCTGTGTAATCGATGAGAATGGGATCTGCGATGCAACAACTGGAAAATGTTTGGAAGGTGAGCTTCAAGAGGATCCAAACAACTGCGACGGCTACGTGGAATGCATTAATGGAAAACTGATAGCATTGAAATGTCCTGATGGGAGCTATTTGAATCCTACGTTGAAAAGCTGTGTAATCGATGAGAATGGGATCTGCGATGCAACAACTGGAAAATGTTTGGAAGGTGAGCTTCAAGAGGACCCAAACAACTGCGACGGCTACGTGGAATGCATTAATGGAAAACTGATAGCATTGAAATGTCCTGATGGGAGCTATTTCAATCCTACGTTGAAAAGCTGTGTAATCGATGAGAATGGGATCTGCGATGCAACAACTGGAAAATGTTTGGAAGGTGAGCTTCAAGAGGATCCAAACAACTGCGACGGCTACGTGGAATGCATTAATGGAAAACTGATAGCATTGAAATGTCCTGATGGGAGCTATTTCAATCCAGCGTTGAAAGTTTGTATAATCGATAAGAATGGAATCTGCGATGCAACAACTGGAAAATGTTTAGAAGGTGTACTTCAGGAGGGTCCTAATAGCTGCAATGATTTCTTGCAATGCATTAGTGGAAAACTGATAGCTTTCAAATGTGGCGATGGTAAATATTTCAATTCCACCTTGAAAGTCTGTCTCCACAGTGAGAATGGAATCTGTACTACCACACCTGAAAACTGCACAGAAGGTGAAGTTAAGGAGGATTTTGAAGACTGCTCCGCTTTTTTGGAGTGCATCAATGGTGAACTGAAAAAGAGGCTATGTTCATCTGGCAGTTACTTTGACAGCCCATTGGGGAGCTGCATTATTGACGTTGATGGGGTTTGTGCTTCGTTGTCGAATAATTGCGCAGAAGGAGAGTGTTAGTCCAATGGTTTATTAGGTACACCCTGTTTTCTGTCTATTATCCAATTAATGAAAGAAGTTAATAATAAACCATCCAAGTTGATTATCTTTTCACACATTTACACCAATTAAGTTACAGTCAAATAAATGTATGCCTACAGACAGACCGATTGTGCTGATACATATGTAAACCAAAAGTATTCTCTTTGGGTATAATGGGCAATAATAAGTTTGCTCATTGGTCTGTCGGAAAGTATCATATGTTCGTTGGCCTAAAGGCCAAAGTTTTTGATGGCCTTGCTTTTGGAACAGCTGGGACTTTAGTAGTTAGTATTTTGTTAATGGAATAATGATAACATTTGTTCGCAATCAAATGGCTTTAACTAGCTGTTAACAATTACCTAAATATCAGCAACTTTTGCCAGGAATCGTTTCTTTATTTCAACAAAATTAACTGTAAGAAGATTAATATGCTCGGCATTAAATCAACTGTAGCCTAATTAGGAATAAAGAGATTGGCAATTGTATATCCAAGCAGACGAGACAGGCTGACAGACTGCTGCACGTGACTATATACTCGCTTGCTACTCAGTGAATGCGAACAAATCTGTTCTTAATTAAGAGTATTCCCGCAGTGCAGCTTTATATCCCAACTGCTGCCTTTGGGCTTGCAATAAAATACATCAAAGTGCTTTCGATAACAGCGAAGAGGCCGGACGCAAATTGATCCGTATTAAATGAAAACAGATAACAAAAGGTGGACGATAGGCGTGGCACATTTGTACTACGGAACTCACATCAAAGGCTACAGTCTGCAATTAAGACGGAAGTTCGATTTCATTTGCACTTTATTAGTGAGAGTAAAAGCCCGAGGGCTTTCTCTTACTTAGTTACCCTACTTGTTAATTTGGGCATAAACGAACATTAAATTCAGGACATAAATGTTCGTTTTCTTTCCGTCACCAGTCCCCTCCTCGGGCGGGGGAGTTGGTGTTACTACAATGGCTGGTGTTGTGGAACTGACGACATCGTCATCAGATGTAGTCGTATCTACAATCGTTGTGGGCAGCGGGTTTGCTGTGGTGCTCTCAGCTGGGTCACCCAATCCGTAAGGATACACGTTGTTTACGGGCACATAGTACTCACCAACGGCCACAAGCTCGTTTACTGGCGAACCCATGCGAATCGAGCTGTAGGTAGAACCACAATTTTTGTTGTTGGCATCCTGATACGAGGCGCACTTCATAGTTGGAAAATTGTCCATTCTCAGAGACTCCACATAGTAAGACACGGCACGAGTGTGGGAACAGCTGCCTGTCAGATCTCCGCTACATCCAGGCTGGATTTTGCCGCCATTCGGATAGAAGGTAGCCCTGCCGATGGGCTTAGTGAAACCCAAGGTGCCGCCATTTGTCTGAATGGTCTCCACGTAGAAGGCATCGGTGCTCGACAAGCGCTTCTCTGGCTTGCTGTAGCTGAAAAGGGGCGATGCCGGATCAAGGCCCACCACCTTGTGCACGTTTCCGGTAGTCACTTGTTTTGCCGTAAATCCGGCCACATGTGCGCCAAGGCTAAAGCCCACAACTTCGAGCGTCTCCAGGGACATGCCATACTCTTTCACAAGAAAGTCCACCAGTTTGGCAACCTTGTGGCCTGCAGTATAAGCACCGGCTACGGAGGAGGCATATTCTAGCGATCGAGCACGTTGCCAGTCCACGGCAATCATATTGTAATCGCCGGCGAGAAACCAAGCATCACGCACTCCTGTGTTGACACCATCCTTGTAGTTAGAGTTCCATCCGTGAATGGTAATTCTGTATTAAAAGTACCACTCAGGGGTTAAGATTCAACTTCAACTATTCACACATACCTAGTTGGATTGGCGGAGTTGAAATTGGACTCATCAATGGATTCCGTGTTGGTCGTAATGATCTGTCCCTCCTTGGGATTACGCTGAGTATACAAATAAAATGTGACAGCGTTGATTGAGAAACGCTGATCGAGATCCAGATCATTAAGTGTTTCATAGGCCTCCAGTTGCCCGTTGACCTCGTCTAAGGACATCCACTTCAGTTCCCCACCCACTTGCGGCACAAACCATCCATTCTCGCCATTAATACGAACTGCTCCCTGCTCGTCGATGGGCAAAGCACTGGCTAAAATCGTGATTTTCTCGTTTACCTTTGATCGAATCGCAGTTAGAAGATTTACTGACCTGCTAGCAAACAGCTCGATAGCAATAACCACAATGTCATGCCTTCCATTGCAAATAGTTTAATGGTACTGCTAAAACACAATTTATATACAGAAAATTGAATGATAATCAAAATATTTAGAACAGATTAGCAGCGTGATTAGATAGCGATTAACATTATGATCATGACTCATGTTAGCAATTTGCGTCACATATTTAGAACTCAAATTTAAATTTTAATCACGCATAATAAGAAATAGATTCGGTTTTTTAATTCATTTGTGAATATATATATGTGTTATGTCATGAATTTTATTTCCAATCAACTCCAAATTCCATCTCGAAATTTAAAGACTATCCTAAAAGTATGCTATTAAATTTGCATAGAACTGAAAAGAAAATGGAGGTTATTAAAATAATTTACTATACTACTATACTTAGAGCTTATAGTAAGTTTGTAGATCTCGCTCGATTAACATCTAGTGGATTAAAATGTGGTTAAGTTAATAGGGAATGTTTTCACTGTACTTTATAAATAATAAAAATGTACAAATAATAAATACAAACTTGGTTTAGTTTATAAGTTATTATATAGTTTATCATGTTTGAGAAATTATAGTATTGCTTGTGCATTGCTTTCATGCAGGTTAAGCAACATTCAGATTGGATTATAGTTATTGAAAATTGGCCTTCTAGATGGTCTAGGCTATGTAATGCTTGTGGGTGACTTATGAAACACTACATTGATAATCATTGATCATAAAACTTTAGTTTATTTTGAATTCTAAAATCAAACCATTTAATTGCTATAAATCATTGATTTAAAAAGGTTAAGTTACAACATGTTGAATGTTGATTGTCGTCCCTTTTCTAATAAGTTTTCACCCAACTATGCAATGAATATTTTAAAAGTATGATTGGACTTCAAAGCGATTAGACTGAAATGCAGAGAATGATTTTCCAAATCGACCACTGGTGAAGAATAGTAATCAGATGTAAAAGCAACTGAAATCTTTATATACATATATACGACTGTGTCTGGGTAAATCTCTGCAGTTAGAGATATCTACTGGATATGAAATGAATAATTCAAAAAAGTGATTTCAATTTCGCAAGATATCTTTAATGTTTGTCAAATTCAGTCTAGTTGCCCTTGCCATAAGGATAGGCGCTGTTAACGGGAACATAGTAGTCACCGGCGACCATGTAAGCGTTGGAAGTGGCACCCATTTTGACAGAGCTGTAGGTGCTGCCGCAGCTATTGCTCACGGCTGACTCGTAGTCACCGCAACGCACGGTGGGGAAGTTGTTCTGGTTGACAGCCTCAGCGTAGTAAATCACGGAGCGGCTGTGGGCGCAGCTACCGGTCAGATCAATGCCGCAGCCGGGCTGAGACTTGCCGCCGTTGGGGTAGAAGGCACCCTTGCCAATGGGCTTGAGGAAACCCAGCTGGCCGCCATCGGTCTGGATGGACTCGACATAGTAGGCATCGGTGGAGCTGAGACGCTTGTTGGGGCTGTCGTAGCTGTATAGGGGCAGGGCGGGGTCCAGACCGATGATGGTGTGCACCTGACCGTTCTTCACGTTCTTGCCAGCGAAACCAGACACATGAGCGCCCAGGCTGTGACCGATGATCATGGTATTGTCCAGGGACAGACCGTTGTTGGAGCGCAGGAAGTTGATCATATCGGCAACCTGCTCACCGACTCCGGGCACAGCCAAGACGGAGGAGGCATAATCCACGGAGCGAGCACGTCCCCAGTCGACGGTGATCATGTTCATGTCACCGTGAGAGAACCAAGCGTTACGGACACCATAGTTGACATAGTCATCGGCACTGGAAGTCCAGCCGTGGATGGTGAAGCGTGTGGGGTTATTGGGGTTGAAGTTGGATCCGGAGATGCTAGCCTTGTTGGCCTTGATTTCCTGAGGTGAGTTCAAGTTCGACTTGGTGTATAGAAGGAAGGTAACGGGGTTCAACATGGAGCGCTCGCGATCAGCATGAGCCTCCAGATAGGCGTCGGCGGCATCCTTGTCGATCCACTCGAAGGTGCCATCGGCCTGGGGCACGTACCATCCATTCTCTCCATTGATTTTGTGATCAACGGCGCTGGCTGTGATTCAACAACGAAAATTCAATTAGCTTGTGTAGATTCAAAGGGAGCCTTTAAAGCCATTTACCCGCTAGGACGCAGAATGCAAAGATTAAAAACAGTTTCATGTCGCTCAACAAAGTCAAACTCAACTGATGTTCCGAATTGCTCCAGACGAGAGCTTTATATGGACGAGCATTAATCAAATCTCGCACACGCTCTGCACTGCACTTGAGATTTGCCCAATTGATTGGCAATCATCCCTCCCAATTCTGATAAGACAATGAAATTGCCAGCAAATATTTGCTAACTCAAATCGAATGACTATTGTGTTGTTGTTTTATTTTGGACACTTTACTTACTGTCTCACGTTCGATTGGGGTATTTGAGATATGACCAGCCACTTAATAATAAGATTGTCATTGCTTAAAATGTTGAGAGGCAATCGAAATATAACTTAAAAGATAACTGTTTAAGTTTAGAATTAATTTCATTCATCAGTTGTTGTGACGTTCGATTTTCGCCAAATCTGTCCACAAAATCTCAAAACTTCTGGGGGTGGTGGCTGCTTGTTGACAAAACATCGGTGTTGCCAAAAAACATATTTTGGTTTGATCGAGTTTTATTTGTCTTGATGATAATTAAATTAAAACGTAACAAATGTTTCAAAATTGAATAATACCAAATTAAAATGTATGCAAGAAAATTAGAATTTGTATAAAATATAATTTTGTGACGACACCCAAAAAAATTGTAAATTGCTATTCAGATTGAATCCAACCTGAAGAGCGTCCTTATCTGATCCGTGCCCACAAATGTTTGCACTGTTTGCAAAACCGTTTCAGCCGCAAAAGCCACAAATTGTGAGCAGAACTTTGTTCAATGACATCAAGAATGTCCATCGTCATTTAACGCTTCATTCACCAGAGCTCAATCATCTGGGCCACAGCAGTGCGACACAGAAATAATGTGAGCCTTTGCTGCACTCATGTAGTTCTCAATCGTCAACGATTATTTTGAACTTGCCCTGTGATATCCTGGCACCCCTTCATGGCATTCTTGGAGCTCCCTTTCCAAAAATGCATGACAAACAAAATGAAAGTTGCTAATCGCTGGCTCATTGTATCTGAGTTGTTGAGGTACCTTGGAATTGTTCTTGGTAGACTAATAGATATAACAAATAAGCGAATCGTCAAGCATTGTCTCATTTTCCAGTAGCCCCTGTTAAGTGGTATTGTATAAGATCCAATCGTTCTCTCCATTCAGCACCCCGGGCTGCTTTTTTCAAAGCTTGCAATCAGAAATCTCATAGCTTGATGAATTCAAAACCAATCAATTTAACTGATAGCACGAGCAATGCATGCGTAAACAACTCGTCCATCGTATTTATAAAATGCGCTTTTCACAATAGAACAAACCCCTTTCAATACCATCCCTCCGGAACGAGACTGTAGCTAATCTCTGACGTGTACGTGTGCACTTAACAGATAGCAGGTAAATAAAACAGACCCCAAGTGGCCAGTTCGAACATTGTATTTTGATTGAGATACGAGTAATAATAATCAATACACGAGTACACACTATCAGAATTCAGTTGCTGACTTCATACTTTATTCAGATCTTTCCCTCAGATCGATTTTGCCAAATGGCTCCTTGCTGTTCACAGGCACATAGAAATCGCCGGCGACCATGTAGGCGTTGTAATCAGCTCCCATGCGAATGCTGCTGTATGTGCTGCCACATTCCTTCTTGACAGCTGCCTCGTAGTCATGGCACCTAATTGTGCCGAAGTTATCCTCGGTGACAGCCTCAGCATAGTAGGTCACAGAGCGACCATGGGAGCAGGAGCCGGTTGGGTCCAATCCACATCCAGGCTGCTTCTTGCCGCCATTGGGGTAGAAGGCACCCTTGCCGATCGGCTTGAGGAAACCCAGCTTCCCGCCATTGGTTTGGATGGACTCCACGTAGAAGGCATCTTCGGAGGACAAACGTTTGCTGGGCTTGTCATAGCTGAACAGAGGCAGAGCAGGATCCAAGCCAATAATAGTGTGAACGCGACCTTCGCCAACAGTCTTGCCAGCGAATCCAGCAACATGGGCACCCAAGCTGTGGCCAATGACCATCAGACTTTCCAAGGACATGCCATGCTTATCGTGTAGATACTTGATCATTTCACCCACCTTGGCACCAGTGGCGGGAACTGCGACCACCGAGGAGGCATATTCGAAGGAGCGTGCACGCGCCCATTCCACAACGATGATGTTGTGATCGCCCTTGGACAGCCAGGCCTTAGTGATTTCGGTGTTCATGGAGTCGGTGGAACGACCATTCCAGCCGTGAATAACAAATCGAGTGGGATGATCCTTGTTGAAGTGAGAGTCACGAATGGACGCATCGCTAGCATCGATTTGCTTGCCCTTGGTGGGGTTTGAGCTGGTGTAAAGATAGAAGTCCACGGCATTCCCGCTACTGCGATCCTCCATCTGATCACCCAACGACAGCATGTCTTCGGCTTCCTTCAGGTCAATCCACTCGCTGGTGCCATCTATTTGGGGGACATACCAGCCATTCTCGCCATGAATACGCTCCTCGATAGGCAGTGCACTTACTGAAAGACCAAGATTGGTCGATGGAAATTGTATTCGATTGGAGGAATCGAACTATAGCGCTTACCTGCGGCCACAAGAGCTGCTAGAACAAACAATACTTTCATTCTGTGATATCAACTATATTTGCTGAGGGTTTAGAAATTGTCTGCCCTTTTATAGTCGCAATACTCTAATAATGGCAGCTAATCACTTGTAGCTATTGATAAGCACTTAAACTGTTCAAATCAGATTTCACATTTGATATCACAATCTTCCATCTGCATTTGCCAGCTTTACCGATATGTTCCCATATCAGCAGTATAAATCAATATTTTGAATGGATACCTTGTACCGCATTTTCCAGCGTCTGATATATCTGGCATATTCAATCTTGGCTTGTCCATATACATCTATTGAGGCCATTTCGGCATACGGCACTCATTAATTAGAATGAAAGTTGCCCATTTAACTTATAATGTGCTAACAAGACAGATATAAGAATATCTGTCGATATGTATTCACAGCTGTAAATGGCACCTGGAATTACTTTGATGATCATAACAGATTATCTTCATTCTGTCATACTTGATTAACATTAGCTTTAGGTAGAGAAGCTATAGAAATCGCTAGCTGCACTTTCTATTTCTTCTCATGTCTGCTGGTTGTGGGAAATTAATCGTTTCAATTTAATATAAATGCTGAATTGATAGAAGTAATAGATGTTGATCAACCCTCCACACACTCCATAATTAAGGCAATGCTTGCTTTTCAAATAAATCAGTTTATTGTAATAAGGGCAATTAGTGAAGATTGCCGAATGGAGCTTGGCTGTTCACAGGCACGTAGAAATCGCCGGCGACCATGTAGGCGTTAGAATCAGCTCCCATGCGGACGCTGCTGTAGGTGCTGCCACACTCCTTGGCCACAGCGTCCGTGTAATTGGGGCACTTGATGGTGCCGAAGTTATTCTCGGTGACAGCCTCAACATAGTAGGTCACAGAGCGGCCGTGGGCGCAAGTGCCGGCGGCATCTACTCCGCAGCCGGGTTGCTTCTTGCCGCCATTGGGATAGAAGGCACCCTTACCAATCGGCTTGAGGAAGCCCTTCATGCCGCCGTTGGTCTGAATGGACTCGACATAGTAGGCATCGCCGGAGGACAAACGTTTGCTAGGGTTGTCATAGCTGAATAGGGGCATAGCAGGATCCAAGCCAATAATGGTGTGGATGCGACCTTCACCAACTGTCTTGCCAGTGTAGCCCGCAACATGGGCACCCAAACTGTGTCCAATGACATACAGGGTGCTCAGAGACATGCCGTGACTGCTCTGCAGGTACTTGACCATTTCTCCAACCTTAGCACCTGCGGCAGGCACAGCCAGCACGGAGGAGGCATAGTCAATGGATTGTGCACCCGCCCATTCCACAACAATGACGTTGTAGTTTCCCTTGGACAGCCAGGCCTTCGTAATTTTGGTGTTCATGGAGTCGGTGGAACGACCATTCCAGCCATGAATAACAAAACGAGTTGGATGATCCTTGTTGAAGTGAGAGTCACGAATGGACGCATCGCTAGCATCGATTTGCTTGCCCTTGGTGGGGTTTGAGCTGGTGTAAAGATAGAAGTCCACGGCATTCCCGCTACTGCGATCCATCTGATCACCCAACGACATAATGTCTTCGGCTTCCTTCAGGTCAATCCACTCGCTGGTGCCATCTATTTGGGGAACATACCAGCCATTCTCGCCATGAATACGCTCCTCGATAGGCAGTGCACTTACTGAAAGACCAAGATTAATCGATAGAAATTGTATTCGATTGGAGGAATCGAACTATAGCGCTTACCTGCGACCACCAGAGCTGCTAGAACACACAATACTTTCATTCTGTGATATCAACTATATTTGCTGAGGGTTTAAAAATTGCCTGCCCTTTTATAGTCGAAACACTCGATTAAAGGCACCTAATCACTTAAAGCTTTTGACAAGCACTTAAACTCTTCAAATCAGAAAATTTCATGTTAGAAACCATAATCTTACATCTGCATTCGCCAACGTTACTGATAAGTGTCCATATCAGCAGTAGAGAGCAATATATATTGAATGGATACCATGTCCCATCTTGACCAGCGTCAGCCACAGCACGTATATCATTCTTGATTCGCCCCATCCATTTAGGGGTGAAATGGTATTTACCTGCCAATAAAAACCGCTAATGCAAGTATTTCGATATAGGACATTCATTAATTGGAATAAAAGTTGCCCATTTAACTTACAATGTGCTGACAAGACAGGTATAAGTAAAGCTGCCACTTGGGATTCCCAGCTATAAGTGGCATGTGGAACTACATTGCTTATCATAACACATTTTATGCTAATTATCTTCAAACTGTTATAAAATCGAAACACTTGATTAACATACGCCTAACTTAGACAAACTATAGTCCTCGCTAACCATTTTCAAAATTTCTACTCATGTCTACTCCTTTTGAGAAATTCATTGCTGACACTTAATACAAGCACTGATTCTTCATTTTACTTTTGGATAGCAGCGACAGATTTTGGACAACATTCCTCACAGTCCACATTTAACTAAAATAAGCCAATGCCCAGGAAGACTTGTTTTTCAAATAAATGCGTTTATTGCTGTAACGGTAATTAGTGAATATTGCCGTATGGAGCCTTGCTGTTCACAGGCACGTAGAAATCGCCGGCGACCATGTAGGCGTTAGAATCAGCTCCCAGACGAACACTGCTGTAGGTGCTGCCACAATCCTTGGCGACTGCTGCCTCATAGTTTCCGCACTTGATGGTGCCGAAGTTGTCCTCGGTGACAGCCTCAACATAGTAGGTCACAGAGCGGCCGTGGGAGCAGGAGCCAGTGGCATCTACTCCGCATCCGGGCTGAGACTTGCCGCCGTTGGGGTAGAAGGCACCCTTACCGATTGGCTTGAGGAAACCCAGCTTGCCGCCGTTGGTCTGAATGGATTCGACATAGAAAGCATCGCCGGAGCACAAACGCTTGGTGGGCTTGTCATAGCTGAACAGAGGCAGAGCAGGATCCAAGCCAATAATGGTGTGGATGCGACCTTCACCAACGGTCTTGCCAGTGTAACCCGCAACATGGGCACCCAAACTGTGTCCAATGACATACAGAGTGCTCAGAGACATACCGTGACTGCTCTCCAGATACTTGACCATTTGTCCGACCTTAGCACCAGCGCCGGGCACAGCCACTACGGAAGAGGCATAGTCCACGGAACGTGCACGAGCCCAGTCAACAACGATGACGTTGTAGTTTCCTTTGGACAGCCATGCCTTGGTAATTTGAGTGTTCATCGGATCCGACTGACTCTGTGTCCAGCCGTGAATAACAAAACGTGTGGGATTGTTCTTGTTGAAGTGTGAATTGGCAACGGATGAGCCTGACGCCGAAATTGCCTGTCCACTGGTGGGATTGGACTTTGTGTAAAGGTAGAAGTTCACAGCGTTGGTGCTGATGCGTCCCTCCAACTCTTCGTGCTTCGACAACATATCTTCGGCCTCGTCCATATCCATCCACACGAAGGAGCCGTCTGATTGGGGAATGTACCAGCCATTCTCGCCGTTAACGCGATCATCGACTGGAAGGGCGCTAACTGAAAAGATGTCAGAGTCCTGCTTAGTCTATGAAGACTTTGGGGCTAACAAGATTGGTTACCTGCGGATAGAAGCGCGACTAGTCCAAGTATTATAGCTGCTCTCATGTTGGAATCAGAAGAACAATTGATATATGGCATACAATTCAGACCCTTTTATAGGACAGATAATATAAAATTGTAACAAATTATCGACCCCGCATTATAAGCACTTGAAACTTGATTAAAATTTGCTAGATAAAGTCGACTGCCTTGATTAAAATATCCGGTGTTTGCATTTCTTTTTGACAATAATACTGATAGAATTGGCTATCAAATGAAATATAATTGTACTATCATGCTGATTTATGAACTGCCCGAGGAACGTCTAGAAGTTATGCTGAAGACATAAATTAAAATTTTTATAGTACTCTGATTTAAGCGATAGTTAAGATGACAACTATTTTGCCTGCCATAAATAATAAGTGGTCATTGATATTGATTGGCGGATTAGCTTTTCAAGGTTTGACATTCAGCTTTATGATTAGAGCTATGAGCGCAGCTAGATTAATCAGATTACCCCCCAAGATTAGGAAACACAAACAACAATGTACTTCCTACTGCAATGCTGTGCAAACCATGGGCTATTATCGTTTTTTTTTAGAAACATGTTTATTGTGACACAATTGCTTAGTTGATATTGCCGAATGGAGCCTTGCTGTTGACGGGCACATAGAAGTCACCCTCGACCATGTAGGCATTGGTGTCGGCACCCATACGAACACTGCTGTAGGTGCTGCCACACTCCTTGGCGACTGCTGCCTCGTAGTCTCCGCACTTCATGGTACCGAAGTTATCCTGGGACACAGCCTCGGCATAGTAGGTGCACGAGCGAGCATGAGAGCAGGCACCAGTAACATCCAATGGGCAGCCAGGTTGGGACTTACCGCCGTTGGGGTAGAAGGCGCCCTTGCCGATTGGCTTGAGGAAACCTAGACCGCCGCCATTGGTTTGGATGGACTCGACATACCAGGCATCGGTGGAGCTGAGACGCTTGTTGGGCTTGTTGTAGTTGAACAGGGGCAGGGCGGGGTCCAGACCAATAATGGTATGCACCTGTCCATTGGTGTTCTTGCCAGTATAGCCGGCCACATGAGCGCCCAGGCTGTGACCAATGACGTACAGATCGTTGAGAGACATGCCACTGTTGGAAACGAGGAAGTTCACCATGCTGGCGACCTTCTTGCCGACCTTGGGCACAGCGACAACAGAAGATGCATAGTCCACGGAGCGAGCACGAGCCCAGTCAACGATAATAACGTTGTAGTCACCTTGGCTCAGCCAGGCGGCACAAATGTCCTTGTTCATGCCCGCCTTGTAGTTCTGAGTCCAGCCGTGGATGACAAATCTGCAAGCAGTGGTGACGTTCAGTGATGGAAAAAGTGAAAGAATATATGTAAATATAAGTCTAACCTGGTGGGGTGAGCAGGATTGAAGTTGGAGCTAGCGATGGACTTGCTGGTGGCCGTGATCTTTTGGCCCTTTTTGGGATTCGATTGAGTGAACAGATAGAACTTAACAGGGCTGGTGCTGAGTGCACGACTCTCGAGCATCTCCTGATTGTCCAGCCATTCCTCTGCCTCGTCCATGTCGATCCACTCGAAGGAGCCATCCTGCTGTGGTACATACCAACCGTTCTCTCCATTCACACGTTCCGACTCCTCCAAAGCGTAGGCCGAAGCTGTCGATGGTTTACAGTTCCAAGAATATATATCATGATATTCTAAGGTATATAATGCTTGTATTTACCCGCTAGCGCACAGAATGCCAAAAGCAAAATAGTCTTCATATTGGGGATCTTCAGACTGATAGAGAATTTTGGTAAACAGTGCTCTTTTATAGGGCACGCCAAGGAAGTTATCGCATGTCAGACGGTCTAATCAGGGTATTGGTTTCGATAACTGGCTTAGGGGTCTTAATTAGTATCTGATATGCCTTAAATTGCTCAGCTGGTTTCTTTATTTATATATTTTAATTGATATTCCAAATAACGAAAGCAGACAATACATATTCAAGTGCCCCAGACTGATTAGAATATATGCATAATATAGCACTTAAGCAGCTATGGCTAAGTGTTTTTATTTATAGCTTAACTATCGTACATATCATATATATATGTGTGTGTGTGTGTGTGTGTGTGCACAACAATACAATGTGAATTGACGCAAACAGTTGCCAAAGTGCGGATTGTGCCTTATCAGTGTTAGCAACTTACATGGCTCGCTTACGACTTTAAACTGGCTGTCATATCAATACCGATTACACTTGTTTTCAGTCCATGGTTAATACCCATAATCTCTGTTATAAGCATTTAGTAAATGTAATTGATCGACACCCTTGAATTTACACTGATCACTTCAGTGTGTAAGTGGGTTCTCATACTAATAGGGTGAGGTAATAGGTAATAGCTGGTTAGCTTTAAAGTAATACAACATTATTCAAGTTGTTTTCAACTTGCAGTCAGTGTCAATGAAAACGGTTAACAATTGCTCGGCTGATCCAGCAAAAATCAGCTAACAATGATAGTTTGCGAACTAACACATATTCTCCATTACCATCCTCAGAACCCCTTTTCCTATATCGTGGATATCAGATCAGGCATTGCATTATGCCGCTAATGAGTTTCCCATGCCCTCTAAGTTGATTATCCTGTTTATGTTAATTGGCTCTCGCTGATTCCATAAATTGGCTGAGTTGCTAAAATTGTCGAACTATTCGAACAATCTGTTAAATAACACGATTCATCATCAATACCTGATTGATTTCTCGTTTCTACTTTCCCTGACTGGCGACCGAGCCGACCAAGCAACCAGAAGTCAGATTTATGCAAAAATCATCTGAAAAAGTAGTATCCACATCCGTTATAAATTGCCAATATTTTTGATCATTCTCAAAGTTAGTCCATCTGTATAAGATAGGGATTAAAAAGTCAAGAATATAAGTCTCTGTGTATCAGGGAAATTAATTAAGGAAGCATCGATTGCGATTCAGCTCTACCTGAATTACATAGTACATATTGTAAAATATATATATGTCTTGATTAATTAAAATTGTAACCAGTGCATGTAATATAAGCGAAAGCAGGGAGTCCATCAAATATTATGGCTCTGCATGCATCAATCATTAAATGAACTCATTTCCGCTTGAATTTTCACCTATTGTTGCGCATCATTTACCATTCACCATTAAAAATATTACTTAATTAAAATATGTGCACTGACCTGCATGTAGTCGCTCATGAGGATCGCAGGTGGTCAGCCGCATGGCTGAAGGGCTCTCTGCTTAATTATGTTGAATATTTTATGGGGTTGTCATTGTTGAAATTTGCAACAGTGGCAGCAAAAATGGCAGCTGCAGAAGAAAACCAGTCGGGTGGAATGCTCAAATGAAATTCAAATTAATCGCATTTTTAAAAGTGTCACATTTCAAAAGGGTAAAAATGTGGCAGCCTGCCAAGCGATTTTACCACCGCCTTTTCCCCATTTGATTAACCAAATTAATCGACAACGTGGTAGGGGGTAGCGGCAGTTTGAATTTTATATACACCCAACACAAGTCAAATGTATTCCTTTTATTAATTTATTACGTGGAATTTGAGCATTGATGTCAGAATTATATTTGATAGCAGCAGGGTCAAAAAAAAAGAGAAGAAAAAAACACCAGCAACCCAAACCGTTTCCAAACGATTTAAGTCGCTAAATCACATTTAGCTTAAAAGTCCTTACAAAACGCAATCTTGGTCTGACCACATTTGAGCTTCGGAACACAAATAAAATTCAATTTTGCATTTTCTAAAGCCAACGCAAACTGTGAAAATCTGCGGTGCACATAAATCAGCCTTATCGGCAAATAAATTGCAGCTCCCACGGATTACGTGATGCTAAAGCGAGCTTAGAGTATTTGTCCAATTCATACGTGGCTAAATGGGCTTGCCAAAAATAATATTTCCTAGTCAATGAAAAAACAACAAACACGGTAACCAAGTCTGCGCCTTAAGGCGTGCTTTGTGAACCCAAGGAGGAGGACAATGAGTTATACCCAAATGAACACACAGTCACAGTAAATATATTTATGTATAAATATGTCTGTCATTTCAAGCTTGCATAATTAGCCCAAATGAAGGGTGGCTCCTGCTGAGTGGCTGGTGATATTAGTTTCCTATTTATGTATTAGTCAAATGGGACAAACTAGCGTATGCCATCAGGCACAACAAGTTCACGCCCCCGTCCACAAGTGACAGTGAATACGATTGCATGGGCGTAGGCGGCAACAAATAAGTAGGGATGGCCAAGATATCATTTGCAAAGTACATCATCAGAACTTAAGTTCTCACAAATTTATACACTTTTCACACACATTCAATTTTTATAGCACCCCAAAGCAAATACAGCAAATAATGTTTCATTAAAAATTCAGAGAGCATTAATTAAAAAATTTAGTTTACAAATATGTATTTTTTTTCCTTTATTTAGTTATTTATTTAAATGTTATTGGACAGCGAAGCGAAAAATAAGGACAATAACGAAACTTGTAATTAAGAAGAAAATTTGGATGCGGTTTTGAGTCAAAAGAGTTTCTTGCTGAATAAATGTACATAAAAATGATATAGTTTGAGTTTTAATTCCGGGCTACGCGCATGGAACTAGCAACCTTACTTTTGCTTTTTGTCTTGGCTTTGTCAGCGATGTTCACTTGACATAACTCATTAATTATAATTACAAGCACTCCACAGAAAGTAACCGCATGTCAGTTAATGGGAAGCATACTAGAAGCTATAACCAAAACAGCGACATGCGGTTAGCGACACGACTCACAGCTACTGACTACTAACAAACACAACCAGAGAAGCCACAGATGGAAAAATATTTGTCTCAGCAACTGCGACTTCAGGGACCTTCTTCTTCTTCTTGGTTTACTTTGTGGTGGTTTTAAAACCAATTTGAAAACACCAAATGCTTGCTTTCCATTCAGTTGTCTAAACTGTTTTGACTATGTTGGCCCTTAGCCGTAAGCTGGCCCGGATGCATTTCGCATTGTTTGCGATTGTCTGAATACTGTTGATTGCTTCCAGCAATGTGCCGTGCTCTGAAGTTGTTGCAGCCGGACATGAAACGACCGCCGTAATCCAAACAAAAATCGTTCAGTACAAAGCAAATTTGAAAATATTAGCCAGCTCTCTTTGAAGATTTACTGCTGTACATTCGCTTTATGCGTTTTTCTTTACAGTCATATTGTTTGTGTGTGGCGCCCGTCACTAAATTGAATTTATGTGCGTAGTACCTGATTTTGGGTCGTCTCTGCTCTTGTCTGCTTTTTCTGCTTTTTCTGCTTTTTCTGCTTTTTCATTTAAACGCTCAGCCTAAAAGCGCGCTAAACGAATTCACATGCAACTAAGCCGATCAAATCTGATTTGCCGACACGTTTTTAGTCACAACAAAAAACTGTCTATGTAAATATATTACTTACAATAAGTAAAATTCGTTAGCCACCGTTTTCAAGCCTCAGCCCTTGGCTGAACAACGTGCTATGATTTCATTTTTGGCACGTGATTATCTCCCTCAGTTTGCCATTTTACATTTTTTTTGTTTTTTCTTGTTCCATGTTTTATTTTAAAAGCTGGGAATTTATACTTGAGACGCGTAGCGCCTTCTGCATTCATTTCGAATTTGATGACGCATTTTTCCCCACACCCGTAAGGAAATATTTGAGATTTTCTCTGCCATGTTAGTTATTACCATTAACATGCAAATATGTATGTCTGTATGAGCATTAGATTTTCGTCATGCTTAAATATTTGCAAGCATTCCTTGAAATTTAATTGAAACGTGTTCTTCATGTTGAGAAAAGGACATAGATCATTCTGTCAGTCAAAATCAAATCAACGATACCCTTCAAACATGCCACATCATTTTCACAACTCACCCGCTTTTTAATATATTATTTTATTTATTTTTCAATTTTTATTTTTTTTTTTGCTTGTCATGGGATTCCTGTTTATGTTCATTTACATGCGAATGCTGTGCACCTTGTGTCGACATTTAAATTAAAAATTAATAGACTTTCCATGCGAGAAATTCGATAGACATACACATATACACATTTATTTTTTTTTTTAAATAAGAATTAGGCGTATTCATTTATTTTTCTCCGTCTTGCATGTCTGGAAAAAATACCAATAAAATATCCTTAAGCACGCAATCGTCTGGTGAAATTTTATGAAGCTTTGCAGAGATTTAGGTATTTGGGGGCAGATAATTGATAAAGTACAGCAACAACAGGAAGAAAGCCATATGGAGTCTCTGCGTCATAGCAATGACTAATACACACACATGTCATGCACACACGCAAAAACACACACACACACACACACGCAAACACACCCACACACCACGAAACATTCGCCCAGTTTTGGAATGAACCTCAGCAAGTGCCTCATTATTGTGCTGAGATAAGCAATTTACTTGCTTGATATCCTTATCCGGCTTTTACAGCGAGCGTCCACATACGAAAAGCCGCACAGGGTGTGTGGCTGGCACTGGAGGCGTTGTCTCAGTCAGTGTCAGAGTTTATTTAGCGGCACATTAAATGCGGAGCGTCAGTAAAAGTTGAAATTACTTCTTTTCACATGCAGAGCACAATTCCCCTAGCGATGAGAGCCACATGTTATCTTTAGCAATTGTACTTTGTTGCCAAGCTTTAATTGTTCGCGTACGTAAATCTTATCATTTTAATTTATTTAATGCAATGCTTCAATATACGATGATGTACGGGTGAATACATAAAGTAAGCCTAAGAGCCAAGCAAAACCATCAACCATTTCAATTGCCTGCATTTACTTAAAAGCCAAATCATCCTCTGCCTGCCTGCTCCAAATCAACATTCAGAAATATTGCTCATTTTATATATTTTTTTTCCGCAAACATCTGCTAAATTGAACAAATAATTTCAAATACTTTTCCTTTTTGTCTCCTATGTCAAAGGCTTTCGTTTTTTTTTATTTTTTATATTTGTTATGCATTGTTCAGTATAACATAAAATTCTACTGTGTTCAACACATTTGTCATTAGAATCACATCCATTCCCTCAAGCGTTTTGTAGGTTTTTTTTTGGTCTCCTTTCCAAATATATTTGTGTGCTTACTCTGTTTATTCTCTGATTTCACTGACATTCAGTTTTTCCTTTGGCATGTCATACACATTTTTAACTTTACCAAAGTAATTGGCGCATTTCATTCATTGAGTTTCTCATTTATAAGCGACTCTTATACCAGTTTCGCCCGAAATAATGCAACAGTTTTTCAATTTGAAAATTAAATTCAATTTTGCACTTTAATTTTATTAAAGTCTTACATAAGTACATAACGCAAGCTTAAAGCTAAATTTATTGGTTTTACTCAAATGAAAAATCGCTCTCCTGTGCGCATTGAAATAAACAGGAAATTTGTTTAGTATCATAAGCTTAAAAGTATACAACAGTTTATTTTTCTATCGCATTAAATGAAAATAAATAAATACATTTTTTTTCTTTCTAAATATAGCTTTAATATAACCAACCGCAATGACCTAAGACTTAACCTACTCACTAAGCTCGAGAGTAGTGGATCATTCATTCTTGGCTAAATCGCATTTAAATTTTTAGTTGTTAACATACAAATTTTCCATTTCTGGGAAATCCCCAGAGATACTTTTTATGCATTCTGCATAGATAATAAACACCAAAGCTGACTGTAGATTATTTAATACTTGCTACAATCTTTTGTGCTATTTAAGAGACTAACCAATTTCATTTCCTTCTATTTACAGGCACAGGCAGGTCTTTACAGTGGAAAATAATTCAAATCGAATAATTACAGCAGAAACCAACAACGAGAGCTGTGTTTAGCTGCGTAGGAGTTATAATGAGGCTGCAATTAACATTTGCTTTAGGCAAAGTATTCTGAGATTAGGTTTCAAGTGAAAAACCTGCAATTAAGCCAACAAACTTTGCTTACCAAAATTTGAGCCACAAAATGGACTTTGGCAGCCTGACTTGGCACAGGCGTGGCATGGACTTTGAGCGCTCCATGTTGAACGACGAACGATTGTATTACATAGCGGCACAGGATCCATTGCTGCGCAATGAGGATGACTACCAAGATGCGACTGCCTCGCTAATGTACAATGGCAGCTCCACGGAGCTACCAATGCCTGATGAGGATGCCGCATACACAACAACATCATCACCCACCATGGAACGCTTCAATGTGACGGTCTTGCTGAACTTCAGCTGCACTGATGTGGAATCGCATTCAGATGATCTGTGGTCCAGCGTTTACTTCAAGAGCGTCGTCTACCTGCTCTACATACCCATCTTCATCTTTGCTCTGCTGGGCAACGGCATCGTTTGCTACATTGTACAGTCCACGCCACGCATGCGAACCGTTACCAACTATTTTATAGCCAATTTGGCGCTTGGCGACATTCTCATGTCTTTGTTCTGTGTGCCATCCTCGTTCATCTCGCAATATATCCTTAACTACTGGCCATTTGGCATTGTCCTCTGCCACTTTGTCAACTATTCGCAAGTGGTTTCCGTTCTGGTCAGCGCCTACACTTTGGTGGCCATCAGTATTGATCGATATATAGCCATAATGTGGCCACTGCGGCCCCGCATCACAAAGCGGTAAGTAGCCGACCCAAAATTGTAACGATACTTTGAGGTATTCAGTTGATTTTTAGTATACGTACTTACACAAATCAAATACAAGCAATGATTATTGCTTATTACCAGATTAAATTCTTTATTCTTACTGTTCAGAATTGCAATTGTATTTTGGGTAGGCCTTGGACTGATGGATACACTCAAGAGAAAACATTGACCTAAATTTTAGAAAATGAAAATCGCACTAATAACAACAAAGGTTTTCTTTATTTTAGAAATAATCGACTACCAAATCGATCTCAAAAGTATTATGTTATTTCTTTTTAGAAATATAAAAGAAAAGTAATGAAATTTATTAGCTCGGATTTTGAATTATCCTTTAGCTATTTATTATATGATCTATGGTGATATATGGTCTTTAGAAATTTACTTTCGGGAATAGTAATAATGTGAGATGATACGCGAAAATATGATGCCGAATTTGTAAAATTTAGGGCAAGTTTTTTTTTGTGAGTGTCACTAAACTAATGCCAGCAGATACTTTGAAGATTACAAGCGTCATCCTCTTCTTTGTTGAGCTTCCGTCAAATATGCAAAGCTGGGTATTAGCATTCAAGTTAATTGAAGTCGCATAAAATCTAATTGAAAGCCCGTCGGCAGCTCGCCAAGTTGTTGTTGAGAGACGTGCCATGGCGCCGTTAAGTGGCCGCTGGCGTATTTGCATTGCTTGACGCTTTTGGGCTGGGCAGCTTTAGGCCTCATTTTGGATGCCAGCTACACAGTCCCACTTGACCAAAAAAATACAGGGCGGCACACCCGAGGGACTCGAACACGCAACGCTTCTCACGCCTGCGGCTGCGTTGTGTTAATTGGTTTAAACAGTAACCCAAGACCCAAGGACGGTATCGGGCGGGCATCTGCTGCAAATCCTGCAAGTCCGCGACCCGCACTAGCTGCCATTGAACGTCAATTTGCTTTGTAACAGGATACAGAAACACACTTCTCCTCACTTAACAGTTCTCGAGCTGTGCAGCCAGATAGCTAACTGACTTTAGCTACTCGCTTTTCCTCTGCTAAATGGCGGTTAACTATGTATGTACGGGAATGTAGTTGTTGTGGGAGGGGTGGAGGCGGGGGGAGGGGGGAGCATTTATGTCACGCCCTATCAATGAGTGGGTGTGAGCGCTAAGGAGCGAGACTTTCGTGGCATGTGCAAATATTTGTGAGTCATTAAATAAATAAGGTTTATAATTATACAGCCTGGCTGTAATTCATGGACAAACTGATATTGCTGGCACACTATGCGTATGCGCAATGTTCGTGCGTCAGCTCAATGTTAATTTGACCTTTGCATACAATAGGCAATTAACACAACTCTTTTTCTTTTGGCTTTATTTGGCAGCTATGCTAAATTTATTATAGCTGGCGTTTGGTTTATTGCTCTGGCGACTGCATTTCCTATACCGGTCGTCTCCCGCCTCGTGGTGCCCGGCTCGATATGGCACGAGAAGTGCGAGAAGTAAGTACAAAACCCATTGGGAGTCTAACAATATCCCTGACAAGTATTACACTATCATTATTGTGTGTGCGTATATATGTGCGTGTGTGTCTGTGTGTGTGTGCGTGTGTGTGTGTGTGTGTGTGTGTGTGTGTGTGTGTGTGTGTGTGCGTGCGTGCGTGCTTCGAGGGTAGCATTAAAAATGGCATTGTCTGGCAGTGGAGTGGCACTTGAGCGGAAATGTGGTCACATTCAAGTAACTTACAGTTCGTGAGTGTTTCCGAGAAAACATGACCCAGAACCTCCAAACATAACAGTGGTGGCATGCATCTCGAGTGCTTGGAACAACATTCCTGAAATCGATAGCCAGAAAGTAAACACTTTCAGACTATTTATATCCTGTTCTCATTCAAAATGTGTAAATGGGATATGATGAAATGCATGTCAGATGCAGGAAAAAGTCCCCTTCGACCATTTATACAAAATCTGGACCTTTCGTCTATTTGACCATGTACGTCTATTTGACCTACTGTATAAGCTCCACAATCTCAGAGACTGGAATACATAGAGACACAAAACTTTAAATATAATTTATATAATATAACATATGCCATAAAAAGATGATTTCGACTATATTCGAATCTCTATCTAACTAAATTGATTTCTATGATCTCTTTTCTATGCTATGGTTATCCCATTTGGCACAAAAATATTACAATCCATAATATTGCACACTGTATATATGTGCAGACACGTGGTTAAACTGTGCAATCGCAAGTTAGGCCTAGTGAAAAGCAAAAACATATTTCAATAATGCAAAAAAAGATTAGAAGGATAATTTGCTGAATAGTTCAGATGTGGCTAGGACAGATGAGGGCCAGTATAGGTTAGGGTCAGTAGATTTAGTATCTTATATTTTGCATACTCTATCAAGATATAATAAACTGAGTATAGGGTATCTCCTAGTCGGCAATTCCTCTTTAATCAATTCGAAATTGATTATTTGTTGGTTATAGCGAGCTATTTGCATTTCAGATCGCATCAAATGCTGGTCACAATAAGCTAAGTTTACATTGAATCAATAGTGAAGGGCAACTTTCTGCAGCTTGTGGCACGCTGTCGAGTGAGATGCAAATAGAACACGGTACAAAAGCAATGCCCTAAATGGCCGTAACAGCTTTAAGTGTACCATTCCAATATCATCCTTAATTTGGCCAATTCCGAGTTGTCAATTCAATGGCAAGTAAAGCTCATTTCGTGTTCAATTGCCGTTATTAGATACAAAATGCGAAAATGTGTGGCACGTTGTCATTTTTGAGATGCAGCCGGCATGTGCTTTAAAAGAACGTGCCTAATTACCACAACATGTGGTCATGTGGCCAAAGAAGCTTTCACTAAGTGGACCCTCACTATCCAGGCAAGTGCTGGCAGTGCACTGTGGGCTAAAAAAGAAAGAAAAGTGCATAAGTGTTAATAAGAAATAATTAAGTATTAGATAAGTAAAAATACTAACATGTATGAGTTTAAAAGTTTTAATATATGAAATGAGAATAAAATATGTATATAAAAAGCAGCAAAATTATATCTTTTCACCAGAGTGCACAGCTTTGTTTAACCCGAAAGTTTAATGTGCTAGGATGTGTGTGTGTGTGTGTGTGTGTGTGTGTGTGTGTGTGTGTGTGTGTGTGTGTGTGTGAGTAGTGGTATGGCTGTATGTGGTTGCATGCATTTGACAGCTTGCTCGTCCCCCAACCCAGCTGCTTTCCATTGTATTAATGCCATCTGTGTGTTTTTGCATGACCCACAACAACATTTTGATCCTGGCATGCTGCTGACTGTGCGGACCATCAGATACATTTGCCGAGAGGTTTGGCCCTCGGGTGAGCAGGATTACTACTACACGCTGGCGCTGTTCACGCTGCAGTTCATCTTGCCACTGCTGGTGCTCATATTCACCTACACGCGCATCGCCATCGCCGTCTGGGGCAAGAGGCCGCCGGGCGAGGCGGAGAACTCGAGAGACCAGCGCATGGCGCGCTCCAAGCGCAAGGTAAGTCAGATTTAGCCACTTTTCAGATAGCGACCACAAAAACTAATTTGTGCAGAAATGGTTTTGATGCCAGAACGCTGTCAAAAATTGTATTAACTAAATGGCAAATGCAAATGCCCACTCAGAATCCTTTCAGGGCCCATGCAGAATTTGCTTCAAATATTTAGCATATCCATGCCTCTTACACCACCACACCAACCCACCCCAGCCCAGACGGTTAGGCACCTTCCGGGCCAATGCCTCAGTGCCATTGATAAACAATTGCTGCCCACTTGCTTTAGCAATTTTCTACATATTTGCATTTGCTTTAGCAACGAGTATTTCATTTAAATTCAAAATATTTTCAAACTCTTGCTCTCTGAATATCCCAGATATTGTGCATTTTTAAACGAATTGTCAGAAAACGAACGAATTTGATGGGCGAATTGCTTAACAAGTCTGCTGCAAAGGTTAATGCTGACATATTTAAATGCTGAAACTGACAATTGGAATTTAATTTCATTAAATGCCATTGCTTAGGCACAAGTCAATGCATTAAGTCGATTGCTTGCCAATTGTATCCTGGATGGGAGTTCAACTCAAAGAAGGCGCAACCCAGACATGTGCTCGTCTGGGATTTTGTTATTTTTTTTTTAGGGGTTACAATTTAAGTGGAGGTGAAGCTTGTCAGCATTACAAATCGCATTTAAAGCCTTAGAGTCGCAGCAGTCAAGCAGGCGACCCAAGCAACTGGTTACATTTATACAATATGTGTATATTTTAAATAAATAAATAAATGGAAAAAGATTTATGCATGCAGCGTCTGCAGCTCGTTGCCCAGTACGTGAGTTGCCTATCAGCCACTAGCTAACTGGCAATTGTGTCTAAAGATGCCACCTTTGTGGCGACGTCGCGAAAGTGATCAGTTTCAGCGATTTCCAGGAAGTGTTTGGGTCACACAGCAGGCGCAGCAGCATTGCGGGTGCGCTTTAAAACCAACCGACCGACCAATCGACCACGTAACCAGTTGTTAAACGGGCCTTATCGCTGTATAGCCAATTGAATTGTGGAATTTCCATAGATGAGGACGTTCCGTCTGTCCGTGAAAGCAAGCCAGTTCGAGTACAAATTTATTAATCGAACTAACTGTGACCTGTGCACATCATCAACGCACCTGGCCAATATGAAGAAATAGTCAGACAGTTGCCCAAAATTGGTATTTGGTCAAAATAATTGCCAGACTTTAATTAAAATTTGCCAAGTGCTTAATTAAGCCATGTCAATCGTGGCGCACATCAGTTACTTTTTATTATTATTTTTTCTCTTTTTTTTTTGGTCTTGGGATGGCTAGCAATTATGTCCACCATATTTCGTAGCCAGTCAGGCATGTATACACAACGGCTGATTGAGCACCATATGAAAAGAAATGCCGATAGTAGCGACAGATTCCCTCAATACAATGGCGGACGTTGCGCCCACTGTTGCTGCCTCATGGATGTTGCCCAATTCGAGCCCAGGGCATCTGCCATTCACTTTTTCGCTGCTGTTAACTCTTGTTGTTGGTCAATATCGGACCATCCTTTGAAGCGCCAAATATGTAGGCATCATTGTAGATTTTTGGCATTTTCTCATGACTGTCTGTCTATCCACAGTTGACAATGTCTTCCTAGTTGATCGGCTCAAGTCGCTGACCAAGGGGCAGCTGAAATGATTAGCAAATTACGACCACAACATCACAACGCGATAATCATGTTCACCATAACGATAATTAAGTGGACGATGGCAATTAACAGACTGAGCATCAGCGCAATCGACATCGATGCTAAAAGCTGATATAAATTAAACACTTTCATCTATTATTTCGACTGAATTGACATTTTGGGTTAATACACGTGGCGTATACGTAATTTGTGGATATATTCACTAAAGCATCAAGTGTTTTAGTAAGCTTGTATAGATTATATGCTTATGAGCTTATTTAATCCTTTTACCAATTTATTGCTGTAATATTGCAAATCACAGACTGCAATAAACACAATCAACTAAATGGAATCATTAAATTGACGACTTACGGCAATGACGCGCCACTGTTGAGAGTCAACAAAATATTAAAATAATAAATCAAAAATAAAGAAATCCCAATGCTCATAGGCATGTGAAGTTTTCGTTTGGTCAATTCACCGTCAACGCGGACGCATTAGAAATTTGCCTCATCTCTCTTCAATTGGGACTTATTCGAATGTGAATCGTTAATTACATAATTGACTGCAAGAGGTACAACCGGCTGCAGTCTGAATGCATGTGTGTGTTTGTGTGTGTGTGTGTGCCAGTTGGTAAGCCCCTGATCCTAGGTGTTGTTGCTGGGCGTTCACTGACCACGCCACAACAAAGACTGATGAGCCGCCAGGCATGGTAAAATGCCAAAAACAGACACGGCAACCGGCTTCCCCATTTTATGCATCGTCTTTGTCTTCTTCTTTCTCGCTTCTTCCTCCACCTCTTCTACTTTTTCTTCTGTTTTTTTATTATTATTTATTTTTATTTTTTGCATTTCACGTGGCTGCAATTTCTTTCTTCTGCTGCAACGTGGAGACTTCAGTTGAATTGTGTTAAAATGTTAATTTCATCTTACGTAATCTGTGTCATATCCAGCCAGCCAGGCACCCAGCCAGCCAACAATCAAGCAAGCAAGCAGCTGGGCACCGATTCAATGGACTGAAGAAGGGGGCTAGGGCAGTGGGGAGGCCAGCGGCAGCTGTCGCTGGTCGCTGTTGTTGCACTCACAAGTCGCAAGTCGCATCATCTTCATCATCATTGCACATACACACACAATGGCGAGTCGTTGAGAAAAAAAGTGAGAGGATTCCCAGGCTTGGCCGCTGACTACCCGCATCCACACCCACACATAAAACAACACAACACAATACAGACACACACACACACACACACACACACACACATACACACAAACACATACACACAAGCACATGCACATGATTCGCGTGTTTTGTGCGTTTGGTGGCAAATTAAAAGATATCGCAGTGGTAGCAAACAGATAATTGACATTAGTTACACAGTCGGCAATTAGCTGCAGCCTCCATCGAAGCTCCAACTATTTTATCTGTATTTAACTGAATGTCTGCAAATTTGTGTTTATTGCTGTTGATTCGCTTTGCTGGTGACTTCGACAGAACTTTTTGGTAAACAATTTTTGGACTTTGGCTGATTGATTTCACAGCAATTTGTTTGAGCGAAATTGTCAAAGGTAAAGTTGTGCAAATAACAAACAACATTGCATAGCTGTACTCTGACTTCAATATATTACAGCCATTAATCTTGTTGAAAGTAACCAGCGATTTTATGCACTGAAATAAACCATTGAATGCATTTGCAGCTGACAATCTGAGCGATGTGCAAAGCCATTGATATGCATTTGCAGCGATGTGCAAAGTTGTTGGTACTCAGGGCGATTAAGCAGTTTTCTTATTTACTTATACATTTATGAGTACATGTGCAGATATATATTTAAAGTAAGTTAAATTTTGATGAGCTGAGTCGTTCAATAACTTAAAGCACATTTTACTTATTATATTTTGTAACATTGGACACGTTGTCAAATGATGTTGAGTAGTTGAATATTTATTTGAATAAGGATATCAAATCTACCAAGCTAAATTCATCAGCATGAGAATATATGCAAATTCCATTTTGTTTTTTAATCATGTCCGTCGATGCACACGATACAATAATAACAATAATCCTTTATTACCTCACAACTATATTGTAATTAAATTCAAATTTAATTTACAATCATAATTATTACATTTAAGTGTCAATTACGCTTGAATTGACGTGCATCTCTGTATTTCTGAGAATACATTTTAGCTTGCAAATGGATATTTTTGACAAACTTTATTAATAACTTAATTTTTATTGTCACGGGTTTTTTTTTATGAAATGAAACTTAACTATAATGTAGTTTTTGTAATGAATATCAATATATGTTGCATATCACATTTACATGCACTTTAATTTAAGTATACAGTAGAATTTTATAATCATTGAATTCCTTAATACCCAAATTGGACTATTTCTGTATATATTTATTTGGACATGCGTACATTAATTATGAATAATTATAATTAATCACCTATCCAGCTATCGGTTAACGATTAACCTTTTGTTGTGGCCTAAATAAATAGAATTAACCCGCTGGGTTGCCTATGAAATTTGGGTCATAAATTAGGTCATTAATGGGCCCTTAACTAAATAGTGTCTTAAGTCATACACCAGCTGGGTATCTGGCAGATATCAATATACTCAGTGTATATGTATGTAATTGTTGCAAAAATGCTCTGCACTGCATCACTGCCTCATTCAAGATGCATGCAGCATGACTTGCTTCATTGCAATAAAGGAGTAGTTCCTGAGAGATGACAGAGTCGACAGCGGCGACTTCGGTGGCTACATCTACCTGTCAGCTGTCTGTGCATTTGTTGTTGCATCTGCCCATTTCAGCTGTTGTTATTGCTGTTATTATTGCTGTTGCTGTTTCTGTTGTTGTTTCTGTTGTTGTTGTTGTTTGTATTACATAAAGAAAAATCTTGCCTCTTTGTTTGGCGGCACGAACAAGTTTATTCTACAACGAAAAGTGAAAGGTTTTTGGACTTGTAGTTGAGATCTCGAATTGTTACTCAGGCCAAATTCGGGTCAGTGGCGCACTAAACAGCTCAGCTTGAAGTCTATGCGTTCGTAATGATGAACAGTTTACAGATCTTCTCATCAAGCTTGAGTATGCAATTTCAATAGCCACTGGTCTTGGGCCACATAGTAATTATATGAAAATAATTGAAAACGATTAAGTAAAACACAATCAATTTAATAAAAAGCACATTATCATTGTTTTGGTTAGCAAACGCCAAGACTTTCAGCTGTTGTCGCTTTAATCTAGAAATCATTTTGTTGCAACACACCTCTATCCTTGTGGCAGCCAGCTCCACAAATAGCATGACAACAAGGAG